TTTTATGTGCTGACAGCCGATAGAGAAATTCAAATCTGCGTGCCGCCACAAACTCCCAAAACTCTCTGAATAATTCATGGCACAATTTCAGCAAACAGCGGCGACCTTTCGCTCCTCCGGTGCAAATGTTAGGGCTTGTTGGGCTGCTCTTTCCCGGTGGATGATGATCATGTTTTATGGAACACTTATCCAAGTTGAAGGCTATGGATGGTTCGACTGCCTTCATGAACGTGTCACTTATTTTGTAAAGGGCTGCAAAAATTTGATGTGTGGTTGTATAATGTCAAGGCCCCCGAGTTTGGCCCAAAATACAAATGTCATTACATCACTTCTGTGTTTCCAGTTCAGTTCCATATCCATATTCTACATCCGTGTTGCCAGTCCAGTATCTGTTAGTCATAACATGTTTGGAAAAAAAATAAATAAAGAGGAAATAAAAATGGGATTAAGAGTAACAATAATACTTCAGAGATTTGTTTTCTTTAAGTAACTACTCAAGGGCATCTAGTCTTTAGATTCTGCTCTTTGCACTGTAAGATAAATAACACCATTAATAACATTTTGAGATCAAGCCACTTACAGATACCACAGCAATTAATAACAGTGTGTTTCGTACTGACAAATTATGGCGACAAACTGCAGGAAAACACTAACTGACAGCGATGAAATGAGCTGCTGTGTGATATTAATTCAGACTTAATTAAGCGCTGCCTCAGGGAGAGTACAGGAAGCCGGTAAGTGGTGTGCTGTGGTTTTGTTTCCTGAGGTTAGCAGCTCTGAATCGGCTTGGGATCAGCCGCGAGTTTGCGGCCCGGGCCCACAAACCATCGACGTGAGCTGAAGGAACGTTCTCGCCGTGCTTTCCCTCTCATTGTTGATCGTAGCAGATTCTGACATCATCACGGCTGCTGTATTTTTTTTAAAAGATGCGGTGATATTTTCAGCAGTAGGTTGTTGTTGGGTGGTTATTCGGAGATGGAAGTTGTATGACAGAGTAATCGTGTGTGGGCTGGGAGCAGGCGGGAGTTTCCTTATTCCACACATGTGCTTGAGTGCCAGGACATGGCTGATTGCTCGTACCCTGTAATGCTGCTTCTGACGCATGGGAATTTTCTTTGAGCTATAAACCATTTCCTGACTTGAATCAAAGGGCAGCAATGAAGTTACCAACAACCAAACCAGTTGGGGAGTGACACCACTGACGAGAGGCCTAGCACGTGTAGTTCAGCGGGTTTGGATCTGTGGAAGGTTCTTGGTTCAGATCCTATGATTGTCGCAGTGGTTTCAGTTGGGCCTTTAACCCCAGTTGTTCTGGGTTCTAAGTGACCCTGCTCCCTCATTGCTTTGGATAAAAGTGTCTGCTAAATATGTAAATGTATCTTACACTTCTTTAGACTTGAGGTTTCATTTATTTGCACCAGCTGTACCCCAGTCTTTGCCTAGTACCCAATCTGGCCATCCAATATAGCTAGGTAACCCATCAATATCTTCTCTTTATAACTGGTGCTGTTAACACTGTGCCCCCTAGTGGTCTGCAGCAGTCACGCACCTTCACCGTGATAGGCTCTGTCAACCTACAGGCAAGGACAGAATTTTTCAAAACCAGTCACCGTGACTTTCAGTTTGTGACTAGATCAAAGGCTCGTGCTTTACCTTTCATTTTACTTACTTAGCAGATGCTCTTATCCAAAGTGACATGCTATTGAGAAGGCAGGGTTTGACAGCCGCTGGAGCAATTGGGGGTCCTTCAACCAGCAATCTTCCAATCACAGCCATGGCACCTTAACCCGCTGAGCTGCAAGATGTTTGCATATTTCTTTCAAACCGCCATGAATATGCATCGATTAAGAATGTTTCCTTAATTGGCAAAAACTAGAAAACTAACCCAGATGGAAAGTTATGCCTGAACTATTTAGAATCTTACCAATATGAATACTTCATTTTTCACACTTGCTGCATTTATGGGAAAATACCCGCGATCTAACAACTCATGGTGATGCTGATCCAGTTAAATGCTCTGCATTTACAGCAGGAGTACATACTTGTGATGTTTCTTCTTGAGCGCTTCGTTCTTTAAATGTTGTTGCACAAACCACACCGTGCTTACACACCCCAACGTTACTCGTCAAGGGTGCCCCCCCAGAGACCAATGAACTCCTTTCTGCGCAAGAAGACAAACCGACTCATAATGAGTACGAGTGTCGAGTCAATATTTGTACTGTGCTGCACACGGACACCCCACTTCCCCAGGAACTTCCGGAAGTCTCCCACAAATTGACAGCAGCTTCCTGGCACCTGCAAATGATGCGTAACCCCCCCCCCCATTTAGGTTGTCCCTCACCTGCCTCCCTTAATTCCTTAATTCAATATGCCAAAGGTAGGATGTCTGAGAGCGTAAGTGTGTGGAGAAAAGTAATCAAATGAGGCGATTCATTCCATCCCGATTGCTTAGATAGTTGAAGATTCAAGAAAGCATTATTGGCTCATATACAACACAATGTCAGACAACACAAGTAATAAAACAACAACCAATGAATAAATAATAGGAACAGCCAATAACAGTCACTAAGCCTATAGAACTGAGTTCTTGAGCCTGTGCAAGTAATTACAATGAAAAACAAGTACAGGGATGCAGCGTCACTAAAACAAGGGGGATCTCTTAAGGCATCCTCCTCCTCTGGAAGGATAGTTTGGGTCTTAGGAGAACCGTAAAATAAAGGGTGGAGGGAAAGTTCCATAACCGAAAAAGAGCTTCCATCTGTCATCTTTTTCTTGGAATTGTCATCGTTTTTTGGACCTAAAATGGTTGAAGTGTCCTCGATTTAGTTTTTTTCATGTTTGCATTTGCTTTCTAGGGTCAGAATACATTCTGTGTGCATATTTGTGTTGCTTTGATGCCTCTCTTTGCGTCCTGCCCCCAGTGACTAAAGCAAAATATGGTTACTTTAGCTTCCATTGAAGCTGAAAGCCCCCTTAAATAAACAATGGAGGCATTTTAACCGGTCCTTCGTTGCAATTGATGAAGACTACAGTCTGGTCTTGGTAGTGACGTTTGCTTGTCTACAATGCCCGCTTCCTAATTGGGTTGCCCACCCCGGTTGATCTGAGGTTCCCTTTGGAGCACAGAAGGTCTCCAGAAAATCAAGGGATGCCCCTCTCTCTCGCTCCCTTTGTTTTCTCATCTCTTATTTTTATTACACGCAGAAGCGATTGCTTTTTCATTCTCATGCAAATGATCTCACCCCCACCCCTGTCGTGCAGGTTTTAGCCGGAACGCCTTGAAAAGGATTGTTTGGTTTGCATCACGGGGATGGAGCGATGCAAAGGCCTTCCGGAACATTCTCCCCGCCTAGCCCGTCACCCCGGGCTCTGACACCTGACTAATGCGACGTTATTGTAAAACCTGCTTGTGCGGGGGAGGTAATTTCGTTTGGGTGAATGTGCTCCATCAGGACAGTGGTCCGTCGTCTCTGCCGAGTGAGGCAGACCACCTTGTGCCAGAAGAGGAAACAGCCGTTGGCAAGGTTGATCTAACACGCACGCTTTCTATGTTATTTATTTCTCCACATGAAGGTGAGAGCAGAAGCCAATCTTGCTGGGAGTGACAGGGCTGACTTGTGTGTCGTTTTCCGGAAAGCGAGGTGCACAGACCTGACCCCTTCACACCAGATTTTCTTCTCTGATGGTTTAATAATAATAATACTTTATTGATCCCGATGGCAAAATTCGCTTGATCTCAATGACACACATATAGGTGAGAACAAGCTTGGCAGCAAAGGGCAGCTACCATAGAGCTGGGGATTAAGGGCCCACAGTCATGTGACTATTCTGCCAAGGACAGGCTCGAACTGACGACCTTCCGATCACAGACACAAACGCTTAGCCCGCTGAGTCATACGCTAAGGGAACTAGAACTGTTGGGTTTGCCTGAGCTAATTGGTTGTTAATTTATTGGCCAATGTCACTTTTTATCCAAAATAACATATATGGCTTGTTGGTCTGTACTAATCCATCCATCCATTCATACATTTCAGTTCAGGGAGATAACCAATCAGATTGTAGAGGTGGTGGGTCCAAACAACTAGAGGAGGCGGGGCCAAGACATCTGATTGGTTGATCTGACATCTGACCAAGACCTGATTAGTTATCTCTCTGAACCAATCATTTTTGGTTCTGCCCTCAGAACATTTATGTGTGAGTATAAGGTAGGGAACCCCCTGGATAGGATACATCCACTTAAGTGGATGGATATTTTGGTGAAGTAGTTTTAGGCTAAGCACATTACTCAATGGTCCAATAGTGACTCCCTGAAATCGAACCAAAGTTCAGAAATCCAGTTCCTCAATCCCAAGGCTTCCTGCCGTCCGTGGGAAGCTCCTCACTGCCAGTGAGCTGCCACAGTCTCTAGGCACACAGCACCTGGCAGCTTCCGTAGCTGATTCGTGATGCAATTGCCGTACATGCTGTACGTACGGAGGGCAGGATATTGTGTGTGGGGGGGGGGGGGGTATTGAAAAAGGCCGTGAGACCCCTCCAGACTGCGAGGCACTTGTGAGTTTGCAGACAAGTTCATTGCATTTCGGGGGAAGTCGTGTGGGAATCGGCAGAATCCGGAATCCCCTTTAAGAGGAATCCCTTGGCGATGGAAATCTAACCCCCTCCCAGCCCCACCCCCCAATTTTTCCGAGTTCTGCACCACAGCCTCGTACTCCCACACCTCCTCCTCTTCGATCGTACCTTCATCCCCGTTGGCAGGCAGGACTCTGAGCGTGTGGGCGGGACACGGCTCTGCCTCTGACCTTTCGCGAGTGTGACGGATAGCTTGTTTTCTGAGAGTGTGGCTGGCGTCCCTCCCTCTCCGCCTCGTACTTTGTCTCATTCTCTCTCTATGTCTTTCTTGGGGACGATGTCGCATATCAGACTCAGTGAAGTCACCTAAGGACCTGCTGAAATGGCAAGTGATGGTTTCATTGGCCGCGTGCCGCCACAAGGCCCACCCCCTGCTCAGCGTACCGTCTAATGGTGACCCCCGCCTTCCACCACTTCCACAAACTGCGTCTGTCAGTTTGAGACCTCCATGCAGGCTGACAATTCAGTAAAAGGTTACACCAGGTCACTTTGGCAAATGACTGGCTATATGAAAATGCGACTTGCTTCAAATAAACACTGTAAACACAACCCTTCTGTATGGTATAGGGGTGCATGTTTGCATGTGATATTGCAGTGGATTATTTTTGTCTCATGTTTAACCTATGAAGGGGCTCCTGTGGGCATTTTTTTGCAGTTTTTGGATTGCATGTGGGTGGTAATATGTCAGTTTGGTGGTGCTGGACTCTGCATGCGTGTGTGCTTGCGTGTTGGGGTTCGTGTTGAGTGATCTGACAGCTAGAGATTCTCTTTGTGTTCAGACATGCAGGGACATGGTACATGGTGGAGGTCTATGTTACCCCGTCTGCACGCAGATACACAGACTTGGTCTATGTCTGAGCAGGTTTAGAAAAGTTCTTGTCAGACAAAGTTAGGGATTCGAGTCGCGGCCAAAAAGAAACAGCAAACAAAGCAGGGAAGGAAATGAGACAATCAGGCAATTAAATGAGTGAAATTAAACATAAGAGGAAAAAACATAACTGGCTTTGCACTGTACTCCTGACAGGCAGATGCCAGACTCTTTTCTGGAAAGTTTTTCGGTGTGACTGTCCGTGCGCCATGATGATGCAGCACCTTAGCGTGTTAGTGATTGTCAGGCACACGTGTGCAGCACCTGTATCACAGACAGCCAGTCCAACAGAAAGAACAGACGTAAGCCAGCTCACACGGGAAGGACTAGCAACACATAATCGGGCAAAGTCTCCTTCTTTTTGATACAAACTTTCAAAGAAAAACGACAGAATCCTTTGGATGCAACGTCAGACAGTAACTGGATTCTGCAGAAAAAAAAATAATACTTGTGATGAAAATAAATTTACCTCAGATTACAGTGGCACGAGACTCAGAGAGAGGAGGTGTATTCTGGGTAAAACTTGCCAAACTGTCTTTTTCTTGTTTGTCCTGGGAGAATAAAGTGACTATGCGTGTGTTCTGAGGAGACACACTTTTCATTACCTTGTATTCGCCGAGGTTTAGTCTGGTCTCTGCCAGAAAAAGTCCTCCGTGACTCCATGAACTCCCGGGTACGCTCCACCTGCCAGCGTCCCGAGCAGCCAGCCCGTCTCCCTCTCTCTCTCTTTCTCTCCCTTCCTCTGTCTGTCTTTTACTCTCTCTCTTTCTTTTCCTTGCTCTCTCCCTATTCCTTCTTTCTTTTTTTTTTTCTCCCAGGCAGGAATCTGCATGGTCTTCTGGCTCCACAGCCTCCATCTCTGAGAAGTTTGTAAACTCCGGCGCCGGGGAGGAGGTCCAGGACGGCAGTGGTGGGATACGGATTTTGAGTGGCTTCTTCAGGAATTGGGAACCCCCCCTCCCTCCCCAGCTCCCGCCCTCGCCCACACACATCCGCCCGCCCCCTGACCACCACCCCCCCTGGTGGTGATGACCCCCTTGGGAGAGAAGGGGAGCCCCTGTGCATTCCTCGCCTTCTCCCTGCTGGTCCTGCTGGTCCTGCTGGTTGTGGATGGAGCTCACGGCCGGCCCTTTGAGGATGAGGATTACTACATGCAGGAGCTGCTTTCACGGGAGCACTACTACCATGCTCCTGAGGAGCCCGTGTCCCCCCCAGAGGCCTCAGACTGGGGGGCTGATGACCGCGTGAACCTCAGAGCGGCCAAGAAGGAGCCAAAGATCAGGGAGAAGGAGAACCGGCCTGACAAAGCGGCAGCAGGTAGGCAGCCCTCTGCCGTCCACCCAGCGCTTCTTACTGCATCGCGGCGCCGCTGCAATAAAACTTTATCGTGTAAAACCTTTACTCATGACGGAATTACCCCTTAAAAAGGTGCCGTGAGACACTAGCAGCACATTAGAAATCGTAAGCTGTTTACTCCCGGCGTGGATCGTAGCCGGTGGCTAACTTGGTTAACCGCCACTTTTCTTTCTGCCCCGGATAAAGCCTTCTGTTCCTACTGCACACTTTTGCACCCTCTGCAGTATTGCCGCCAGCAGGGGGCAGCAGAGAGGCCGGGTCGGCGTCCTGTTATAAAATTGTGATAAATACTCTATCGCGGGTAATCCTCTCTAAAGCGAGAGATCATGATAAACAGTTTGTAGTTACCATGACGGGACATCGATTCTTTGAACTCGTGCGAAAGCCTCAAAAAGCTCCTGAGACTGATCAGGACTTAAATACAACATGACAACGATGGGATCCCCAGTACCGGGACAGTTTCTCAGATCTCAGTCTAACACACCATAAAGTTCCTAATTATTACCAGGGGCGGATGTGAGCAGAGCTAGTCGCACGTACTTTTATCACCACGATTCTCACCGGCTTCATACGCCCCCTATAGATCGACAGCTGCTGTAACTTGTCAGATTACAGTATAATTACGGCATCATTAGTGTGACACACTGTCATTTTTCAGAGGTGTAAGATGTCATTATGTGCCTATGCAATACACACTTATGCATCTCTTAGGTAAATTAAACCTGTCACGCCTGGAGAAAACACTTGTCAGAGGTAGATTGATTATTTAATAGGGAAATTGGGAAATGAGACTCTTATAAAGTATAGAGTAACCATGATAAAAATCTAAGGGTTTTGTAAGAGCATAATCAAGTGATAGATGAGCAAGAAATAAAACGTAAAAGACATGACCTGCTTGCGTGTATGGACCACAAATGTGGTTGGCGGCAACGAATCGCGGTTTCCGTTCATGCTCCCATCAAAGGGAACGTTCGAAATGAGATAATGGCTCACCTGGGAATGTTGGTTTGATGTTCGGGGGTTTCTGCGACTGGCAGGGTTGACGAGCAGCATCTGAGGACGCCGTCTGAGAGGCCGTAGATACCGGCCAATAATCAGGAATCACCCCCAGGAGAATTTCGCACATGAAAGTGAAGAACCTCTTAGCATTTACCACACGCCTGAGGTGCATCTTGATTGAGGGAGGACAAGAAGCACATCAGTTCCTGTCAGCTATCAATGTAAATGCGTCGCGGTGCCCCAGAACCAACCGGCTCGCAGGTGTTGTCACGGCAGCCGCCGTTTCTTATGCGTCTTGTGCGATTATTCCGAATCAGCGTTAACGAGGGGCTGATTCGGCCGTAATAACTTCGCATTCATTTCTGGGGCCGCAGTGGTGCGAGAGGCTTGGTAGTGGCCGCTGTATTGGTGACAGACGTGGGCGGATGGTGTTCCGTCACGCGGCCAGGTGGACTTTGCAGGGGGGAAGCTCCGAGGAGATTTTATACAAGATCATTCGGCCCTACGTGGCTGAGCCTGACAGATACGGGGAAAAAATAAGCATTTTGCAGGACGGAGATTGGGAGGTTACCTAAGTGCGATTCAGTGGTCAGTTGCTGAACACAAATTTCAAGTGTGGTTTATGCTGTTTCTAAGCAAATTAAGAGGGTCTTTTTTTCCACATGAAAGTAGCTACCGGAAAGGACACGTGAAGACACAAAAGGGTAAATGCTTTTATTCAAAGATAGGTATATAATTGTTAATATAATGTGAAACAAGTATTAGCAACTTGGTGATTTTGATGTCTGTGGACAGGAGTATAGTAGATGTGTGGAGACCCTGGCAGAATAAGGGGGCCCAGAATTTTACAGGGCCCTTGTATGTATAAAATTTCATGCAAAATTTGGTGGGGGGGGGGGGGATTGTAACATTTCATCAGGGGGTCCAGATTTTCTAGGTATGCGCCTGTCTATGGAAAATGAGTATTAAAAATATATATAAAATAAATAAATCTATAAAATAGGAATGTGAAGTGAGCCCTGCACAACATTTGCTGGGTCTGAGGAGATGGACGTCAAAACACCCGTGAGTTTTCCGATGGGCAGGATGAGTCCACCGCAACCTCGCTGCCATGGCGATTCTGACCTTCCTATTGGCTGCCGCCTCTTAAGGCTTTCCCGTTTAACCACACCCCCTGCACAAACAGCCAGTCCCCTGCTCCCTTTATGGCCCCGCCCCTCCCATCCGCTGCTACGGTCCGTCGGGCTGGCTTTCCGGCTATTTGCTCTGATATTCATCTTCCCTTGATTCTCCATCTGCATCGTAAAATCCTTTCCCAGTCGCCTCTTAAAACCATCACCCACTGGAAGGATGTCTCGTCCCGCTTCTCTCCATCCTGCCCTTCCTCAGAGATGGAATAAAGTGCATTTCCTCTGAGAGTTACAGCTATGTTATGACTTTTCCCCCTTCATTAAGTCCTTATATTTATTACAAATCACTCAGCCGCAGAGTTCCGCTTCACTCCTTCCAGATTAATACTCATTACCGTGTGATTCTAATCACACATCATATATCTTTTGGTGGTAAAGGGTCCTCCGCTTGCTTTTTCTTAAGCTCCCTGATCGATTACCCCCCCCCCCCCTCGTCATTACCGGCACTGTATCACTTCTCTAACAGGCACATCACAAGCCTTACATAACATTTTATTCTTTAAGCTGACACTCTTATTCACGCTGGACCGACGAGCGCTGCAGGGAAAGCGCATTTGGCTGGGCAGGGTGTGAGGGGAGCTGAGGGCAGTAGCTCATTCGTTAAGAGGAAGTCTTTGAGGCAGAGGTGGGATGTGTTTGTATTGCTTGGCGTGTTTTATTGAACTGGGTTTGGCGCCCGTCTGAAGGGCTGTTTTACCTCTATGCACATCAGGGACTCAGAGTTGGAGGTGGGTTGTTGGTGGCTAAACAGGTTAGGCTCCGGTGCCTGGGAAGGTTGCTGGTTTGAATCCCAGAGTCGTTGGGCCCTTGAGCAAAGTCCTTAATCCCCAATTATTATAAAAGCACTGCTAAGTATAAAAATGAAATTAAATATGGAGGAGCAACTCTTATAAGAGATGCTATCTGTGATTTATATATGCACACATATGCCCAGGAATCTGCAGTGTTCACATGACTAGCACCTAGTGAGGGACCCTTAAGTACAGATTGCATTCAGTGCTACGACAGCAGATCCTCTCTTGGGGTGTGAACCTTCTGGTCAGAGGAGCAACTCCATAACCGGGCAGCTTTGGCATTTGTGTGGATGTCACTCATTTCTGTTATTTTGTTATGTTGCATCTTCAGTCCACCACAAGGCACCAAAACCGGTTGGGCTGCATATGGGACACGATGAATCACCAGAATTTCAGTCCATCTGCGTAAGTGCTGGGGTGCTGAAGACGTAATAACGGTTGGCTGCAGGCGAGTAGGGGCTTCCTCAGCTGTGTCTGAAGTGAGGTGTCCTCTGCTGAGGTCCATCTGAGGGACAGGACCAGCCTCGTTTCGGTACGACCTTCTGATTGGGCGACAGCTTGCAGCCCGGTGGTTGACGGTGGAAATACAACCATCTGTCTGTTATTCATGTTTTAAAAAAATATGTTTTCTAGGAAAGAACGGAAACAATAAGGTGGAGAAAAACAAAAAGGGTGGGATGAAAAACAGCATCAATGAAGGAGAGAGCCATTTCAAGCCTGTCAAGGAGGGTAAGTGAGAGACACTCCGTTTGCTTAAATGAAACATCTGAAAATAGCAATATCACATCTGAACGTTTAAGTAGACTTCCCAGTGGCGGGCCAGTCATTCCTGCGATTATGAGCACCCCTCCCAGACGCACTGGGATAAATCTCTGTATGGGTGGACCGAACAGGTAGAGCCATTACATCAGGCGGTCGTGTCAAGGGCAGGATTTTTTAAAACGAATGTTTCCTTAGAGGAAACGTAGCACCCGACGAAGAGACATATATTTCAAATAAATGAAGTGACAGACACATCCCCTTCTGTTTAAAGATTAAATGTTTTGTCTGGGCGCCCTGGCTCGTGATGTAACTGTTATCCAGAATGCAGAACGCAGTAAAGAAAAAAAAAAATGGCCGCTTGTCCATTAGCCAGTAGAGATTATGTGTCTCTTGTGATTCCAAGCAGTGATGGATATCCAGTTTTCTTTCCATCAGCTGCAAGGTGCAGTTTCAGATGACACAAATGAAATTTGTCAGCAGTGTTATATCTTTTGGAAAAACAGGGGTTGCAGCCTCAGTATTGTTGCCATGGTAAAAATAAATCGAGCATAAAGATGTCTCGGGCCAGCAGTGTTAAAAAAGGGAACCTGAAATGTTATGATCTAGATATCTAAACAGATAAAAATGTCATTTCAGTAAAACAAGGCATCTCGTTCCTCGGGTAAAATTAGAAAGTGAAGTGAGCTCAAACGGACGTGTACTGCAGCTTGGCGTCAGCTGAAAAACGGGGAATACTTGAGCTGGGATAGAGTTGTTAGTGTGCCTGGTGCGGGAACGAGCCTGACGGCCTCAGGTGGTGCTGTGATCCGAGTCACACCGTCAGGATCACGGACAGTTCGGCAGGGTGTCGGCACCGGCATTCGCGTCAGAATAGGATTCCTGCTGAAATGAAAGTCACAAGCAATCCTGGAGGAATATCAAAGCGTTCCGGTATGACTCGTCAAATTTAGGCACTCTGACATCAGAAGAGAGGCCTGTAATCAGCAAGTCTACACGGGGTCACCGGGGCTCGTGGGGAGACTCTTTCCGATATGAGACTTGACCCAAAGGTCCGAAATTTAATCCAACCCGGCTGGGTGAGAAAATGTCTGTGTGTGTGTTTTTTTTTTCTTTTTTTTTCAAATTGGTTTTATTCAGCGGCTGATGTGAGCGATTGGTACGTGGAGTAATGAAAGTCAGGGTAATGACAATTGACGTTGCCATAAAACTGCAGCAACTGCAACATATTCATTGCATTACAGAGCATGTAAACATCAGCACTGGAGCCCATATACTCATTTACTGGGATAATGCAGGGGATGCAGGTTACATATACACATGCAAACAAGAAGTAGACAAAACAATGGAAGCACTTAACAACATATTAATGTCAAGCATTTAATAAGAAGAGTCTCTCTTTCATTTCAGAACAGTTTTAGTCCATGTTGCACTCTGTCATATATATACTGGGATTTTAGACCATTCTTTGAGAAGAAAAATCTCTGATTATTTGAGGGATGAACAAGATGGTAATCTACGCTGCACTCTGTGCTCTAGAATATCTATAAAGGTTCAGTCGTGTTCAGATCGGATGATGGGGAAAACCACGACAGCATTTGACTCTATCTAGAGTCTATGAAGCCCTGATTTTGTTTAGCGGTATTTACAGGTGCATTATTATCCAGGAAAATGGGGATATCATAGTGAAGTGATGTAACATGGCCTCTTATACCTTGGCCATTATAAAACCATGCAGAGTGATCATGTGACCTAGTGACTCCCGCAATATGGCTACAAGCGCTGACAGGCATTCTTTGGTTTTCTCCAGTAAGCCCATCTGGATGTAGGAAAAAGTGTGAAAAATGACTCTAATCAGACCATTTGACTTTATTCCATAGCTCAGGGGTTCAGGTTTTGTGTTCTTTATACCAGAATATGCATCTTTTTGCATTTGCTTTGGTTACAAGCAGTTTCCAAATGGCAAGCCTACTATAAATTCCAGCTTTTGAAGCTTGCAGCAGGTCACAGTCCTGCTGATTCAGTTCTGTCGTCATTTTTTAGGTCTTTTGTGGTGTTCAGGTACCTATCAAAGTCCTGACAGACCTCTTTTGTACTGCTAATTGGCATTCGACCTAATATGAGTCACCTTTGCAGCTGCATTTGTAATTGTGATTTAGTCACATGAAAGTTAAAGTCCTTTTCATGTGGAGTTTCCATTGTTTTGTACATACACACGTTTTTCATGACCACTTCTCCAGTGCAGGTCACCGTGACCTTGAATCCTGTCCCAAGAGGCAAAGGGCACGAGGCAGGGGACACCGATCACAGGGAACACATGCAAATTTGACCTAAGTTTGGAAGGAATCTGGACAGACTACAGGAAACCCACACGGACAATATGAAGATATCACACATGCAGAGTGCAGGCAGGAATACTAACACAGACATAAACACACATATCTTACCCCAAATCACCACACATCCGCTATAGCAGCAAACATCGATGAAACTTGTATAGGGTGTTATGGGGGATTAGCTTAATTGACACTTCTAATGATTTCCCAGCCACATCACAGCGCTAATTGAACAGATCTCGTTAACAAGGTTGGAAAGGAACTTCTTATTTACAGAGCAATTACGGATCTCTAACAAAAGTACAGTATCACCTTTTAAGATTATCACTAAAAAATGCTTAAAAAAAAGGTTATTCAAATTAAGCATGCAAGCCCAAGGCCTTTGGAGTTTCCGAGCAAATGTGAATGTTAATGGATTCCGGTAAATATGTTGTTTTAGAGCACACATGTCTGGTGGTGAAATACAGAGGCTTTTATTGTGCTAACAGTGATTCGGGGTAGGGCTGGGTAATTAAATGACGCGGTTTGATATCCTGCTCCTCCGTGATGTCATAGAGGTAGTGGGGTCAGCTGACTCATCTTGGGGCCACTCATAGCTTAAAGAGCCTTTAAGGTAAAAAGTGAGACTGAGCCGCTGATTACGTAAAACCCAATTCATTTAAAAAATTGCATTATGCTGTCCTGCCCACAAATGCCATTTGAAGAGGGGAAAAAATCAATAAAAATATAAGGTATCAGATGCACGTTACATTAGATCCAAGTGTCTTGAACTAGGATGCCTCTGGATTCAGGAATGCCAGACCAGGGAATGACCGGCTGCTCTATTCATGTCAGCAGAGGCATAATTAGACAGCGACAACAATGGGAGATTTATTGACGGCATGAAAATTGGGAGGTGAGCCTGGGATGAGAAAAGCTTTCCCTCTGATTTCGATTCGTCGTCTTCAAAAGCAAACGGAAACAATGAAGGAGAAGCCAGCACTCTGACTTCTGCGCAGACAGAGCCGTGCAGATTGTGCTGCGCACTGTTCACACCTTTCTTCGTGTACGTGTGTGGGTTTTCATACATGCAGGGATGATGTAAAGACTGGGAAAGATTTCAAGGGCCCCCGAGAGACTGGGGTCCTAATAAATGTATAACATAACTGGACTGGTCTAGGATGGGGGTCCAATATGAGGTTGTTCAAAGGTGCCTAAAATCAATAGTGGCAGCCCTGCATGCATGGGTGCTCTTCTGTGTGCCAACCATGTAGTGCCAACTAAATAAAACACATGGTAAATGCAGCACCTCTCATATTTACAGGCTGCAGTTTAATTGCATGCTTTGTTGTTTTGGCTGCAGAAATTTAATGAAGGAGCCATGCATTATTATTTTTTTTTTATATCTGCACATTAAGTAAAAGTTCACCGATGCTTAAAAAAATGTCCACTCTGCTGGTAACTGATGCTAACTTGGATTAAAATTGACCCATTAGGTGGCGTAGATTGGGGCCCAGAGTGAAACTGGATGGTAACGTGTGCCGGGGGCGGGGGGAGGGGGTGCTGTTGGTGTGGCTCGCCTAGGGCTCCATTTAAGCTTTGAGCAGCAATAGTTAATTAGGGAGGTGTCTTTAATACACGGTGTTAACGGACCCACAACGCAGCTCAAGGCTTTGCTGGGCCACCCTCTCTCCTCATTCCATCCCATATGGCAAATGACTCAGGGTTCGATTGCGCCAACCCGGGGTGAATTTGTGGCGTATCTAATATGTTAGCTCCTGCACGAACTTGTCGTTTTGCATCGAACGACATCATTAGAATTAAACGCTGATGCTTTGACCCGTACCCGAGCATACCGTATGTTTATGAGTTACAGCTGGACGTTTTATTGATGCTGAAGTTAACTTCCTTCTCTGAAGGACTGAGCTAGACTTAACCGTGTCCCGATTTTGCACGGGGGGGGTGGAGAGTTAGGTCTCTGAGATGTGATGTGGCCACCCTGAGTGTTCAGGTGTGTTTTTGGGTGATGTGACCTAACTACCGTCTCATCACAGCTTAATTTGCTTTCATTTCAAATTCCGTAATTTGGATCAGATGCATCTTTTATGGAGGTCGCACATCTTGGGGTTAAATTCCTTTATGCCATGCGTCATCCTGCAGTAGCTTCCTCTACGCTTTCGGTTCTGTCGTGCTGGTGAGATCGGCGGCCTTGGCCCCATGACAGTGCAGTAATGGAAACCATGTGTATCATACAGCGTCCTTGAAAACCGACCTACTCCGAGGCAGGAATACCTGCTCTGGTTGCCCTTAACCGCCACCTGGGGCGGCCAGGAGCAGCGTGGTGATGGAGCTGAAAGCAAAGCTGTTAGCTATCAGGCTTCCAACGATAAAAAGGCTCAATATGCAGGGAAATCAAGGAAAATTCCAGAACGGCTTAGTCTCTAATAAGCAAGGGTTACACTTCCCATAATCAATCAGAAGATGGGGAGTTCTATGCGACGTTGCCAACAAAACCATGAGGTGAATGAGAGCTGGCGGCTGGCTGTACTTTCCACTGGCGATGAGTTAATAATTTGTTTGGGTTGAAGCGCCTTTGTGACATATTGGAAAAATTAGCAACCTTTCGAAGACTTTCTGCCATAATGACGTGGAATCCCATGTGCAAAGAGGCACTGTGGATGTAATAGACACATGGACAGAAACTCACTGACATGTTTCATGAGAAACAAAAGACTCTTTAGATACTTGGTTGCTTCTCATCTTCTTACATCTAAGACATACCAGGCTGGCATCAGGGTAAGATGCAGAGCCAAGGGCAAGAGAACAATGGTGTGAAGGTAGTATGAATCGATTGCCATTGATGAGCTGATGGACGTTACTTGTTACTCCTTTGTTAGCGTTGAGTCCAAGCTAGGACAGTCACTAGGCTGACATTTTAAACTCCCATCATGATTTCACCATGCAGTTGTATTGAGGCTGCTTCAAATATGCATTATGTTCCAGCTGTACTACAAAATCTTATAACTATAACCTTTAAGATGCATCTATACCCATTACAGTGGAGGGTAACACACCCAAGTTGGGAAGTGCACCCTAATTGACTGGGAAGTGTCTCCTAATTTACTGGAAAGTGTGCCCTAATTGACTGGGAAGTGTGCCCTAATCCACTGGGAAGTGTGTCCAAATCGACTGTGAAGTGTGCCCTAATCCACTGGGAAATGTGTCCAAATCGACTGTGAAGTGTGCCATAATTGACTGGGAAGTGTACTCCAATTTACTGGGAAGTGTACCCAAATTGACTGGGACATATGCCTTAATCAACTGGGAAGTCTGCCCAAAGCACCATGGAAATGTGCCCAAATCAACTGGGAAATATGCTGTAATCGACTGGGAAATGTATACTGCTTGACTGGGAAGTGTGCCCTAATTGCTTGGGAAGTGTGCTGTAATTGACTGGGAAATATACACCGCTCAACTGGAAAGTGTGATGTAATCGACTGGGAAATGTACACTGCTCGACTGGGAAGTGTGCTGTAATCGACTGGGAAATGTACACTGCTTGACTGGGAAGTGTCCTACTAGCCTGGGCAGTGTGCCCTAATTGACTGGTAAATGTGCCCTGCTTGACTGGGAAGTGACCCTAATAGACTGGGAAGTGACCCTAATTGACTGGGAAGTGACCCTAATTGACTGGGAAGTGTGCCCTACTTGGATTGGCTCAAGAAAGGCAAGGTAACTTATTTTCTGGGATTAATGGTTGGATCCCTCTGCCTTGTCTGCGGTGTTCTGCTTGACAGATCCTGCAGGTTGTGCAGTGAGAAATGGGAAGCTGACAGCACACACATATTGGGGGGAAATGAGGTAATCTATATCCATCATGGGGGTGATAAGTAATGAGTAACTGGCCATGATAAATTGGGAGAAAGTGTGACAAAAATATATGAAGTATCATTATTGATTATGTTCACAAAAAGCCGTCCATGTCTCCTCTTCCCACATGTTCCTGTCCTTGGTTTACCATCGTGTGAAGCCTGCTACAAATTCACCCATTTTGGAGCTCAAATTCTTGTATACTCCAGTGTAACCTTGACAACAACACAATTTACCCCTTTTTCCCGCTGCTGGAGATTGAATAATTGCTTGATTGTGCTCCATTTTAGATCAATCTGTGTCACAATTAAACAATTAAACAATGACGTTTTAATGCCGCATTTTACGCCTCCGTGGGCCATAATTGCTCGTTCTCCTTAAACAGCTGCTGAGTTATTCTTAAAGGAGAAACGTCGGCTTTTCCTATTGGCCAAACGGAAGCTAACATTACTGACACGTACCTTTGCCTTTGAACATCTCAGGACCAGCTAATCCAATCAAACGTCGGTCTAATCATCCATTCATTTTTTTCTAACTTTGTATCCATGATGAATTTTTAAAAATGCAGGAAAATTCACACTCTTTTTTGTTTTTCCCTGATTGCTGTTATGATATTTTTATATCAGAGGAGAACCAAACGTCCACAGACACACAGCTGGTGGTAGCTTCTGTGGCTAAACGCGTTAATTGCAAGTGTGGCACCACGGTGAAATGGGAGGTGGCTATAGCGCAGGAACACGGAGTCACTTTCAGGCAGCCCCGCCCGTTGTCACAGATTCCGGAATAACAATCGTCAGAGTTTTTGCTATGCTAGATACAGAACATTTCATGTGTGTTTTTAAATTAATCATTAAAGCTTGAATGGACACTTTTTCAAATTAAGTGGAGGGTGTTCACAATACTTAAAGTGGAAAACTGGGGGGATGGACCCCCACCCCACATGGAAAATTAGGACACGAATAAGTCAAGCTGAGTCTTCGTCGGAGGAACTTCAGCGTCAATAAAACGTCCAGCTGTAACTCATAAATCTATGCTATGTCGATAAACAAACGCTATGATTTAAATCCCCCACTGCATTAACCTCACTACTGCCAAGTAAACCAGCAACGGTCCCCCTTGTGGAACCTCGGTAAGCCGAATGAGACCCGCAGACGTGACAAGGTCCCTACATAATGGAACAAGAAGCTCAGCATGTTTTTTTTATAGCAACAATACATGCTGGTCACACTGGTTATTTGCACCGCCGCTGTCAGCCACTTTAGGTGATGTCCAGTATGTCCACCCCCAGCAAAGTTACACCAGTAAGCAACCACATTATTTAATTCTTTTTATTCATTAGTGTTCATCTATTTCCTTTCTCTAGCAGTGCCAAGCGTCCTGCTGCTGCTGATGTAGCTGTGTTTGTGAAGCATTGTGCCCCATTGATAAAAACACCATGTTATTTAAATAACAGAATGAAGCATTTTGATTTTTATTATATTTGACAATTTCCATGGCTAACTGACATATAGCTAACATATTACTGTTTAATTTACGGATTTCCCAAAATAAGAAGTGAGTAGGGTGCAATGTTTGCCCTATTGTCTTTGTCCCGTTGGGTGAACTAGCATGTTTTTTGTATGCTTGCTACCTTCTCGAGTCTCATACTAGCAGGCCTGTCTTGTTTAAGAATGACCGCTTTCCGTTGCAAGGGGATGACTCGTGCGCTGCCCCGCTTTAAGCTGTGACCCTTCCGGAGACGTCCGCGATAGCGCGATAATGACTTTACAGAACCGGAGTAAACAGCCGAAGAACCGGAGGGGAATTGCTCCACTAGGAGGCCAACACGGACACTTTTGTAATGGTGTCGCAACGAGGCGTGTAAAGCTTCATAGATCATCTGCTTATTAATGGAAGTAAAGTGAAGTGTGGAATCAGCCCCCCCCCATTGACTGAAATGGCACCGGAGGGAAAAGCTCAATTTTACTCTAGTAGCTGTAGTTGTTTCAGAATGGTGCCCAGTTAAAAATATTCACTGTAAGTGCAAACTTTCTCGTTTCCGGTTATCACCATGCTGACAAAAAACATAGATTAATAAAAAAAAAGCTTAATGCTGGAGCCAATGGTACTTATGGGAGAACTGATGTTGTGCAACCCTTGGGATTAATCTATGCTATGAGTCATCAGCTAGTCTAGTCCAATTCTGATTGGCTACCGTTAGGTTGAACCGGGAGGTGATTGGCAGAGCATGGTGGATTGTCCAAGCCTCATCCCTCGTAAACTGGTAGCAAGGTATCAGTGTAATGCTGTTTGGCAGGTGGCTTTCAATGGCTTTTTAGGGTCAACTTATGCAGAAGTGAATGTGTAGCAGAACTCACAGCCTCTGCGTACGACTTCTGCTATGGAAACATGACACTCAGAGCTGATTTCCATGGAGTTGTGATCACGTGGGTTTAGTCTCCAGTTATGTGTTTGTATATATATTGTTGTAATATGCACACACAATTTTATTGTTTTATTATTTCCTGGTATTTTCACATGTTGAGTTGCTGCAGATATATGCAAAAAGTTGCACTTCTTGTGGACATAATTATTGTCTCTTTAAAGACTCATTCCTCTCTTTTTTGACCCGGACACCCACCCTTTCTGTGGGAAGAGTTGCACTGTAATCTGCCTTCGATTTTACAGCATCTGCACATGTCCTCCATGGCACAAAAAAATTTTTTTAACTGCCCTGTGAGAGATTCATTGCACTTTTGGGACGTTTGCAAATATGGATCTTCTGAAATCGTCTTTGATGATACCCTACACAGTCTGCAAAGCTGCAATCACGTTTGTGGGATAGAAATTGAGAGAATGATAGAGTATGTGCACACGTGCCTTTTTCGTGACCTAACCGTTGGCTTTGTTTCTCTAGAATGTCCCCCCATGGGACTGGAGACCCTGAAAATAGATGACTTTCAGCTTCACGCCTCCACGATGAGGCGCTACAGCTTGGGCCCGCATCGAGGACGCCTCAACATCCAGGTCTGTACAGGCATGGGCCTTTCAACTTCCCGTGGGCTCCAGAATGAGACGTCACGCGTAATAGCTGATGTGTAGGTTAATCAGAACGATGCATGGAGCCACTTACGTTGGCATTGTCGGAAAATGACGAAAATAATTTTCTGGCATTTAATTTCGTTATGAAATAAAGAAAGCCCTGTTCTGCCATCTGTTTGTTATTCTGCGTAAAACATAAGCTAGCAACACCTATTACACACTGCACAGATGCAATATTTTTCAGTCTTTAATTATTTTACTTGCCGTGTCTATAAATAAGTGCGAAGCAGCCTGTATTTCTGCCTGTTTGTCATGGGTATTGCAGCACTAAAGCATCTTACAGGTCCGCCGTTGAAAAAACACAGAGAATTGCACATTAGCAGGCATCCTTACTAACAGGAACTGAACAGGGGGACCTGCTCAAACGAGTTTTCTTTTTTGGAGATTGATTGCTTTCAAGTCTGCGTTGCCATGGAAACTTCATATTGTGGGTGGTTTGGCTGCACATTAACGGGCCGTATCGATCTGACAAATATCCCATCTCGTGTCCGTATTATGGATCAGAACACGCTTGACATGTTATTTGGTTCCGTTCGGAAGATGTGCTGCACTCCAGTGCTTGGATTTCAAGAAGCACCGTGTACCTCCCTCCTCAATAAGCTTCCATGGCTAAACTACTGCTACAAAGTAATTTTAGAAATAACTTTAGAAATTGTTTTATATACTTGTTCAGTAAGATCAAACCAGCATGCAAAAGTTTTGCATTGTCTTCATATACGATGTCGTTATTCCATTAGCAAGCACTTTGGAAAAAATTCGTCTAATGTTAAGGCTTTGAATTTATTTTCAAATTTCCTGCTAAACAAATAAATAGAAACTGAAACAATAACATGCATATTTAAGTAAAGGGAAAGAACGAATGAAAAGTTAATTACCATCAGTATTCTCTGGCATAAAAAAACAACATGAAACGTTCCATATTAAATTTTCTTCTCAGGGATTTTCTTGATGGATTGGACTAAGAGACTATGAGCTAAGAAAACTATTTTTGGCTCCTTGTGTCTCATTTTGATGATGTCACTCTGAATTTACCTGGCTGTCTCACATTATGTCTGAGTGATGGAACCGCTGCATTTTCCACACTTTCTATTAATCTTTCTATTAATTAACAGCAAATTAATTTACTACTGCCATTAAAATAATTGGAGAATTCATCTACAGGTGGGAGAAATAAGGCATGTTTGTTCATTATTGGATATTTTGGTGCCCTTTGACAAAGTAAACAGGAACGTTTATGGAAAATAAGCATCTTAAGCTTCTTTGTTTCCGAAATCAAAATCCAAATTTCTGTTCTACGTACTTAAGATGTATTTCTGTGAAATCTGTTGCTGGAAAAAATGCCTCAAAGCACATTATGCTAAGCAGAGAGCAAAGAAATTATTGCTCTGTTGTTTAAAAAAGATGGAATAGCTGTAATAAAATGGGGCAACATTTGTGGGAAGAAAGATTCTTTGTGAGAAAAGTCTACATCAGGATATAAGCTTGAATCCTGTCTACCACTTGTCTCATCTTTTGGAATCAAAGCTCCTGGAACAGATTAAGCTAACGAGTTCCACACACTGTAATGTGCAGTTTCCACAGACAACCAAACAAACAAAGCTTTCGAGTGTCACGTGTTTGCCTCTGTCTGGAACGTGTCTGCGCTGCGTCATAGAGCTGAGGTTTCAGCTGAAAGGAACTGAGCGGTAAAAATAAGAACTCAAACCATTAATGCAGATGTGTTTCAGAATGTGACTGTCAGTGTCAGATAGAGGCTCTTCTCACATGTTTTAGGCTATTTAAGAATCACAGACCGAAAGGTTGGTTCTGTAGATACAAGTAGGACTTATGCCATAGGACTTATACTGTACCAAAGGACTTATGCCATAGGACTTGTACCATAGGACTTATGCCATAGGACTTATACCATAGGACTTATGCCATAGGACTTATACCATAGGACTTATTCCATAGGACTTATGCCATAGGACTTATACCATAGGACTTATTCCATAGGACTTATGCCATAGGACTTATACCACAGGACTTATTCCATAGGACTTATGCCATAGGACTTATACCACAGGACTTATGCCATAGGACTTATACCATAGGACTTATGCTATTGCCATAGGACTTATGCCATAGGACTTATGTCATAGGTGCTTAGGTGTTATGCCATATTGTCGTTGTAATGAAAAGTTTTTCGTCGCGCTTGAGTTGAAGTTAAACTCACAAAGGAAGCTTCTGCAGATAACATGTAGGTGTGTGGCAGTCTACCTTTTTACTGAGGTTCTGAATCGTCACACCTCATTCATCAAGGAACAATTGCAGGGCCTCAAAGACACAGACAGTTCTGTGGGCTGCCTTTGTGCTGTTCCTCGGCCTACTCAGAGCCCCTCTTTCATTTTCCCCTGCGCTGAATTGTTACACATCCATTTTCTCTCAAAATTTATGGAAGCTTACAGGAAAGCACCTGTTTTGTCTCCTAATTTAGATCTTGCCAGTTTAGTCTTTTCCTTGGCAACCTGCAGGCTCTTGAGGAGCCTCTGACAAGCGTTAATGGACTGGCCAAAAACAAACTGATGTAAATTTCCCGCTCGGTAGGATAACTGCGGCTATGATTCACACCTCTACCAGCCTCCCGGTTGTAGTTGGGTGTGGCTAATATCAGCCGTGTGGGGGGAAGATCTAGGCCCCCACACTTGGCTCACTCCACGGCTGTTCAGCCCCATACATTTCGCCCCGGTGCTGCCTCCCACGCAGAGACTGCCCTCTGTCGCCCCCTACAGGCCGGGATATATGAAGATGAGTTCTACGAAGGCGGCTGGTGTGCAGGCAGGAACGACCCAATGCAGTGGTTCGAGGTGGACGCCAGGAGGCTCACTAAGTTCACAGGTGTCATCACGCAGGGCAGGAGTTCCCTCTGGTCGTGAGTAGACCGTCGTCATGGCTACCATGCCCTCCCCAGTACACCCAGAGCAGGCAGCCCTCTCGCAGATCCAACACAAGCACATTTTAATTTAATTGGCAAAATATTTCATACAATTTAGCATTACTCAGTGCACAGACTCCTCAAAATATATAAGCTGTTAATTATTATTAACATTAATTTTATTAACGGGATCTTTAATGTTTGGGGCAAATATATTTCTTAAACACTCTGCAGAGACTCACCAAGGATTTGATTCAGCAATATTTTCCATAACATCAGTTCCTTAACCACTGTGCCACCTATTGATGTAATGTTGATAGAGAATACTGAGAGATTACATTTCGAGGGTGGATAGTTCAGCAGGGTGTTTATCAAACCACACCACTGTTGGGTCCCTCAGCAAAACCTTTAACCCCAACTCATCCTGGGCCATTGGCTGCTCTGGACAAAGGTGTCTGCTGAAGAAAGAAATGTAATGCAAAGGTCTAGAACCAACAACCTCCCGGCTGCTAGCCCAGCTCATTAACCGCTAACCAACTCCCACTGCACGCAACGCACTTCCAGACACCAGCAGCTGTCACAGATGAATGCCACTATTCTCGTGCGAGTAAATTAGAGCGACCCGGTGATTCAGCTGTGATGTAGCATGGTGAGTTACTCCTCTCATCAGGCTGTGTTTAAAGACCAGAGAGAATCTTCGGTTCTCCTTGCAATATTTAACCTGGGTAGTAATCAGCTACAGGTGGATGCTGGAAATACCCTGCTTTTAATTCCCTGCTAATGACTGTTTTTCAGAAGCTGAGAAATAAGCCCCCCCCCCCCCCCCCCCAAAAAAAGAAAAAGTGTTTTAAATCAGCCGCAATCTATGACATTTAAAATTTCTATCCACCTAGCGATCACTGATATATTGTTAATTTATTATCTAAGACAATGGCAATTAAAAATTAGCCCGTGTAGGCTTATGGACAGGAATGCTCAACTTCTTGCGCATCTGATAGAAGACTCAGGTGCTTTATTCGTCGAATAACTTAAACGGAATCTAATTAAGTTGAACGGTTCATTTGTAAGGAATGCCATAATTATGTTTCCTGATTTTCAGCAACCTGTTGAAAGCTGAGGTTTAGTTCTAATGAGACTTCGTAGTAAGATGCCTTTTCACAGTGTCATTGCTCTAACATCTTCTCTCTGTCCAATTAATTGATCAAATGTAACATCTGCGCATGGCAGCCAGACTTTACCGCGTATGCTTTGCAGGCACCAGCTCCAGAATGTAGCGCTGCAGTGGAAGAGGGTACCGTGTAGTACGGCAACACAACCAGTCACATGTAGAACAGGCAGAGGCAGTTGGGAAATCCTGGTATACATTCCTGTACATTTTAAGTGTTTCTCTGTCATGTACTAAGCCCCCCCCCCCCGACAGTCCACATTTTTGCTCCCTCCCAACTCCAAGCACACCTGCACCAGGTTCTTCATTGTTTGATTCACACCTTCTGGGGGGGTTCCCTGAAGACTGTGTCAAGAAACACTGGACTAGATAACAGAATAGACTGCCTGCCTTTATCGTCACTGTACAGATAGCGACTTTGCATTTTCCATCTTACTGTCCTATGAGATACAGGTGACAGTCAGCATTTTATACTGCAGCAGTGTTTGCAGTTAGGAACCTGCTCAAGGGCCCAGAAGTGATGCGGTTATATTGCTGGCCATGGCGTTCGAACCGGCAACCTTCCGGTCACGGGTACACGCAATTCCATGCAGAGTAACGAATCTTTTTTTTTCACTTGACGAAATGTACCAGTGCTGTTTCAGATGTGTGCTGGCAGTAAGTCGGGACTGCAGTAAGAAGGTTTGCATCAGGAACAAACACATCGGATGTAAATGTAACCACTTTGTTCGTGTTTTCAGTGATATCCCGCTGATTCATAAGCCACCAGATATCCTTTGATTTTGTCCTCGCTTTGATAAGGAAAACCCCCTAATTAAAATAACTATGAACGTTTGATATTCATATCTGTGAACCAAGGTTTACGTTAATTTACACGTTTTTTAATAAAACAACCCAGCTGAGCTGTGATATAACAGCTGTGGGGGGCTTTTCAAACTTTCCTTTTTTCGTTTGTTTGAAAAATATTCTCGGAACCTGAAGATTTCGAGCAAAAGGCAGGAATCTTGTACAACTATCCGACAGAAAAAAAATAACGGAAACTGAATTGAGACCAGGCAATTTATTAATAGCAGAAAACGTACATGTGATCAAAGTTAATCCGAGTGGAGGCACTATAGGTGTGGCGAGAAGGTTAATTGATTTGGGGCTTGCTAATGAATGCATTTAGCTACACGAGAATTCCTCTCCCTCTTTGAGACGGAAAGGTCGCTGAGCTGCAGACGGAATGATGAAGGGAGTCTTTCATCTCGGTTTATTTCTGCCGGTGATTGACATGCCTCTTGTTGGAGGGGCAGCCGCTGTGCTTCCCTTCCATAACTGCCTCAGATGACATTCGTTTTAGATTCGTTTCCGTCTGAAATGGGAGCAGAGGATGCCCAGCAGACCACATGTACTTTTTCAAATTGAAATTTTCATTGTGAGGATGGGGTCAGCCATTACTCATTCATTAATCAGCTGGGGCTTTTTTTTTTTTTTTTTTTGAAGAATTTGTGTCTGGAGATCCCCTCGTTTCCATGGCGACATGTCAGCTTGCCTAGCATCATCTATTCTGTTACAATGGGGTCTGAAAATCTCTCGAGTCGAGGTGGAGACTTGACAGAGAATAACCGGTTTATGAGACATGGAGTTTTGCAAGTTTTCCTTTTTGGAATTTGCACAGAATGTGCTGGGGCAACAGAGCAAAGGGAACCAAAATTAATAGGTGAGAGAGAAAAATATATCTCAGGGCAATACATTGGGGCGGATAGGAAACATCCCTTTATCTGGATTTGGAGGGAAAACCCAAACTAACCATTGGGTTGGGCATAATGGTCTAGCTGGGTTTACCGGCCGATTATGAGGAACAGAATACACTTGGGTCATCTGACTCACCCCTTTAGGTGGTCATGTTTCTCTCTTCCCACACGGCATTGTACTTTAAATTAGTTGTCACCTTGGGAGTGACCTGTAAGGAAGGGCTTTAACGACATGACAATGGACCAAGCCAATTTAGCCTCAGCTGCCGTGGGTTTGCTTTTCCACCTCAACAAACGAGCCAAGGAGCAACCCGACCGGCACGACGCCTGGGCCCGACCGGCACCCCAGGTCCACTCCACCGCAGCGGTCCACCTCGTTAACCCCGTTAGCGCAGGATGTTTCTGGAAAGGTCATCGTTATAGGTCTGAGTTAAAGTCGTCGTTTTTAGAGGTGCGACTCCCCGATTCTGCACCAGTATCTTAAAATGTATTCCTTGCACTTAACGCCGTTCTCCTTCCACGCTTCTCTGCCTTTCCGTGGCTCCTGCCATTGGGGCCGAAACATTATGAAACTGCAGGAAACCATAGCAACGCACAAAGTATATCACAGAGCCATGTTGCTGTCTCTGATTTGGGGGGAGGGGGCTTCCCCCAGACCATGTGTGACATCCCCCCCATTCTGTCACCCCCCCCCCCAAAACAACACAAGCCTGCCCTGATTAGCGAATGGCCCCCTTTTGAGTGACCCATCCACAGCCCCTTCACAAAGGCTCTGCTAGCCGGCATGGGGGGGGGGGATAAATCACATCCCTTCAGAATGAATTATTTACGAGCTTAATGCCACTTATGCGGCGTCGTCTTTCGACACTTCGTTAGCCGCCTTTCGTCTTTAAGTCATCTGCTCAAAATGCAGGTGTGATAAATGGTGTTAAGTCGACTTTAGCATTATCAGACGGCCGAACAGCTGCCAGGCGACACACGTGTCGAGCCAGCGAGGTCCGGCGTCACGTTTAAGTAAGGCATACTGTAGGCGCGGGGAGATGTCATGAGAGCTTAAGATGCTGAAAGTTGGAATGACCAGTAGAATTTACCGAAGTTCTTTTCAATCCTCGGTAGCTAACAAAAGTTAACAATTGTAGTCATTTTGGAGAAATAATCATAATGTTGCCTCTGAGCCATTGTGAGATAATTAACATAACGCTATGTTACGTTAATATATAGGCGTTGGCGCGCTGCAGCCATACAGCATTCTGACACTGCAATTACCACCAACAACCAGAGGGGGTGCTGAAGCACCCTCAGTACCCCAACTGGCATTGCTAGTGCTATTGCAATAACATGTAAGAAAAGACTAATGGAAAACCTCACAGTTAATGTCATTAACTGGGCCATGTATTACCTACTGAACCATCTCACCATCCACCGAGGTTCTCGCTTCTGCTTTCACTCAGCTGTGACTTTCTGCTGAATCTCAGCGCTTAATCGTGACGTCGTAGCAATGATTCGGATACTAAGTCCGTTTGGCTGGAGTTTCAGGCATGATCCTAATGGAAAATTCCTTAAAACCAGCAGGCGTCTGGGCATTGGGGATCATGTCTGGGGAACGCTGTTGTAAACAAGTGTTGTAATTTTTCACCTTCAGCTTAAGGAACTGAAGTATAAGCTGTAGGTCTCAATATTTGTGAGATGGTTAGAGAAACTCGACTGTTTCGCAGCCCAGATGATCTTCTTCAGGCCTGTCCTGGATTTATGGATCACTCATCTACCCAATTTCCTGTTTCTGCCCCCCTCACAAACATGCACTTCACTTCCCAGCCATCAAGGTAGAGTGAATCTTCAGGGTCAGTGAACAATTATCTGGAAATGCCACTTCTACCAAAGGAATACTCATTAGCGCACTGAACTAATTAACAGGAACTGGACCACACCAGACCTCATGTCCCATTAGCGGCGTCCAGGACTGGTGACTGTGGACCATGTCACATCATTTGTGGAGAAGCTTTGGAGCGTAACACGAACAGCCACATACTGTATGTGAAAACGACAGATTCACCATCATTCCTTCTAGTAGAGCCTGGATTCACGAACTAGAGCTATTTTCCTATAGCCAACAAACTGTAACTGAAAATAAAACTGAAGAACAGAAGCGCACATTTGTCTTAATCTGCTCACATCTGTCCTGGACAGTCACTGAGTAGGCCCCGTTTTTCACTCTTATTGTGTAGGGATTTATGTTGTGAGGAATGTCCAAATACCTCGGGCCCCACGGTTGTGAAGACAGGACTGCTTGCATGTGTTATTCCCAATGACTCCAAAGCAGAACCAGGTGTGTTGTCAGTGTATGAAGTAAAGCTAATTAAAACAAGCTGTCTGTCTGTTTTTTACAGCTAATCCCGCACCCATTCTTAGCTTGTAATACTTTTCCTTCACTAAATCAGTAGCCCGTTAATATCCTGCTAATCGTTGCTCTAGACAGTCCATTCATTGTGACTTCTTTGTGTTCCTATGGATCATTTTCTAAGGAAAATATTTGAAGATTAAAACACAATTAGCTATCAATCTTCTGAGTCATCTGGATAACAGCGCCGAAAATGGTTGTAGAGTGAACTGAATTGTACAGGAGAATTTAGCCAAAATAATGATAATCATTTAATTCTGGTTACTTCAAGACTGCATCGTCTGAATATAAAGCAAACTGTCAACATATAGCCAGAAATCCGGGCCCCTTGGCAGAAACTCACCTTGGGTGAAACACAACCTCTACTGGCATGTTTTGGCTCCTAATTCATTCCACTCCATTTACGGCACCCCTGTACGCAGTGAACAGAAACACCACTTTGGTTTATATGGTGTCAGGGTCATCTCCTGTTCCACTCTGTGTCCCTTCCCTGTTTGGCCAGCAGGCGTCGCTGGTCATCCCGTCCCTCCTGTTGTCAGTCTTTGTGTTTTCCCTGCTCCCTGTTGGCTGCATGGCTCAACTCGTTGCCTGTGAACCCCTCTGTCTCGTCTTTGAACCCCCACCTCCTTTGTATTTGGTTTCTTTTGTATCAGTTTAGTCCAGCGATTTTTTTATTGTTTTGGTTTCTTCCTTTGAGCCTTAGTTGTGTTTTATCGGTTTTGTTACCCCAAGTGTTAGATTCTGTTTTCCCCGTTTCTTGGTTAGTTCTTAGTTTCCCTGTTTAGTTCCTTGAGTTAATTATTAGTTTTCCCAACCCTTGTTGATTAATCTCACCTGCTCCTTGTTAGGCTTGTTACCCCTCTGTATTTAAGTCCCTGCCTCTGCTCAGTTCCCCAGTGGTTTGTTGATTGTTGGATGTCAGTAAAGTCTGAATGTTACTAGAAGATGATAATGTATATGTAGTTTGTGTTTAGTTCTTTACATGCCTGTCAACCCGCTCCTGATGACCATAATCCTTTTGTTGTTTAGCTTTAGCTATCCCTTTTCAGTTTTGACCACTCGTGGTCTGGTTTTGTTTTTGTAGTTATTTCTACTGTCTTTATGTGTAAATAAACCCCATTTTGTCTGGCGAGCCGCAAGTGTTTCGTCCACCTTCCTATCTGCCTGTATCACACCAAGGCCTCGCACCAAACCCACTCCAGTCCTTAACATAGGAGCAGTTTCACACTCCGTAATTTCTCTGATGTAAATGTTAACTCGTGATGGATGTGATCTTCATTGTCATTTTCGTACTTATATGCTTAACATTTCGGAACGACACCCCGATAGGTGATCTTTATGGAGATAGACAGAGCTGCCGTTTCTCCAGTCATCAGCCTTGTCATGTACTCTTGGTGCTGAAAAGGCTGAAACGGTCCTCTGAGAATCACACGGTCCTGCTGGCCATAAACCCCCACACCTGGAAACAAAACACACAAAATAAAACATTTATTACTTTTGCAAAAAAAAATATGTAATGTTCAGTGTTGCAATTTAATAAAGCAGGTATGCTTATAATTATCAGATTTCAGTTTAATTTCCCTTCTATTGTATACTTTGTGCAGTTTTTTAATATACAGGAAAATGCTACTCCTGAAAAACACCGAATTGCAACTCATTAATGATTACTGGAGTTATTTTAAGTCGGATATTTAATACGACTTAGGGACAGCAAGGTAATTTACGGTGGTACAAATCCTTCCGCTCTATAAGCATGCACAGGAACTGACATTTATAACGTGTTCTTTCTTATTTTTAGTTTGTTTCGGGTACATTTTTAATAGAATAGTGTTATTACTTATTACAGGCAGTCATCGGGTTATGAACGACATCCGTTCCCTAATTCTGTCTTTAAATCAAGTTTGTAGGTAAGTTGGAAAAATAATAATACAGTACATATAGTGATAATTACGCAGTAGAGATAACCGGAACTACATCAGGAAGTGTAATATATGCACCTGAAGCGACGAACCGCTTAAACCGTTAGTATAGTTAAAGCAGTTAGTATAATTCCGGACAAAAGAGCTTTTGAAGTACTACTAATAAATTGTGCGTTAGAATACTTAGAAAAATTATATAGCCAGCGGATCTGGCTGAAGGAGGCTCTCTGTCAGCTGCCTTACTCTGTCCTTATGCTGTTCTTTTCAGAAGTGACTGGGTGACATCGTACCGAGTGCTGGTCAGCAATGACAGCCACACGTGGGTCACCCTGAAGAACGGATCCCAGGACTTGGTGAGCTTTACAGTTTCTGCCAGCCAGCAGTCTGATACGGGGCTGCCTGGGTCTGATTGTGTCCGCCTTGACATATTAAGCAAGGCTGCTCCGCTGTCCGACCAAACACAGCATCACTGATTACTTTCCACACTGTGCGCTCCACAGGCGCAGAAGAAAAGTACAGGCATATTTTCGCCAGATATAAGGCCATAGATGAGGTAGACAGTGCTGAAATCCAACACAACTAAAACTTTAAATAACAGTTTTGTGTCTGAATATACCATCTATGAAATGTACCATCTGAGCAGTGTTGCGTAAGAATTAGGCCTACTGTGAAATAATGCACCATAAATCAGAGGAAACTGGCCCGAGTTCTGAAATTTCATTACATTAAAGTATTCAAAATGACCTAACGAGACCGACCAAGTGAGAAACTCAATATTGTATGTGAAATATACATTCATTTAACATTAAGTAAGTTTGCGTTGCTTTTTGAAAAGAAGTTGAAAAGATTTCAGTATTCCTTTTTGTTTCTGGCCAGGTTTTATGTAATTGATTCCTTAGCGGCTCTCTTTCAAGGAATGCGCTGCAGAGACGTCGGATGTGGTGTATTTATCCCGCAGCGCTGCGTCCAATTATATTTCGTAACGGTTTGTTGTTTTTTAATTAGAGTTTTTTGGTCTTGCACCAGTACCCTTGTTTCGTGGAAATCACACACATTTGTTTAATTTTGAGTATTGATTCTCCCCAGACGGACAAACTTCATCCAGACTTCCTAGCGCCAAAGCGGCTGACTGGCCAACTCATTTTCGCTTTTAGTGCAGTGCCAGATTTAATAAGCAAATTATTATTGAATTAGTTTTTTTTTCTTGCAAACAAAATACAAAAAAAAACAATAATAATGAAATACAAACAGTGTTTAAATTTTGCTGTTTCTCATCTTTGACGGTCTTTGTCACTGATGGCGGAGATGCCCTGCAGATCTTCACAGGGAACAGGGAGAAGGAGATCCCGGTGCTGAGCGAGTTCCCGGCGCCGGTGATGGCGCGCTATATACGCGTGAACCCGCGCTCGTGGTTCAGCGGCGGCAGCGTCTGCATGCGGGTGGAGATCCTGGGGTGTCCCATGCCAGGTGAGGGCTGGGCTGCCTAAACAATCGGTTATATCTGTATAATCGCTGCTGCCGCTATGTGCAGTTTGCAGAATTGTCCAAGATGTTAATGATTTTTTCCTTGATAACCCAGTGTCTCCCTTCCAAATTCTTTGCAGACCCCAATAATTATTACCGCAGGAGAAATGAAATAACAACCACAGATAATCTGGACTTCAAACACCACAGCTACAAAGAGATGCGACAGGTAGGCTTTGGTCAGCTGGCTGGAGTGAGATTTCCAATTCGAGACAAGTCTGCACACATATTTACATGTATACTATGTAACAGTTATATTACCTTGAAAATAGCCTGTAGGATTTGCAAACAACCCCAACATTTTAAATGTGTCAAATTTTAAGTTTATAGTGGAATATTATAGATTTGCCGTAAGACTTATTGCGTGAGTGAGAGTCTGAAAGTGTGTGTCACGCCGGATGCCTGAGAGCTGGCATCCCTGTGATTCCATGTATCAGTCCTGGGAACTTTTATTTTCTGTATGTCACCAGTTTCTAGTGTTCGTGTCATTTAGGAATTCTCCTTCAGCAGTGGCAGTTAAATCATTGTCTTCTGGGTCTATTTGGGCTCCCAGTTAGACATACAGACTCCTGAATATACGATTCGCTCCGCCATTCAGTTATATGGAAACAGTCCAGAACAACAGCATCTGGTGTGATCCAGAGAAGCCGTTTATGTTGCTATTCTATCATTTTAACGTGTTTTGCTTCCTTTCACAGCTACTCGGATTGGCTTCTTTTGCCGCGTTGTGTTGCTCGTTTTAGGAGCCAGTTTTTTCTCTTTTTTTTGAGAAATCGCTCAGTCACACGTTCAGAAATAAGACGGAACGCCAAGACTTACTGAGAATGTTTTTCAGCCGGTGACACACAGTACACAAAAAACTAGAAAAATTAGATGGGGATCAGTTCAGGCTACTCGCAATAACATTATGTTTAAAAGTATGCTCGTATTTTTATATTCAAAGCTATAAAACGAATCATTTGAGGTCACAGCCTTTTCTGGATCATTTTTTTATCCATCCAGTTTTGGAGAGAGTACTGATACCCGCTTCCTGACCCGCTGGCCGGTATTTTTCTCCTTTTTTGAGCGTGCTTGAGGTTTACCGTGGTGTAAAAGCATAGTAATTTAAGGAAAATTCTTCAGACACAGGGAGGTACAGTTTTAGGCTCCCCCCCCCCCCGAATCAGTTCACTATGAATACCCCATACGTCACATATAGGCTAAGCCTCAGACAAGTATAAAAATTAAATGTTTTCCTTTCAAAACAGACCATGCAGCTGAAAATGTGGGTGGGAAAAAGGACTCGAATATGAGGTCGGCGCAGCATCTGAACAAACCACTACGATGGGGTATTTATTTTTTTGGAATGCCTCCAACCCAGTTTCACTAAGTAATGGTCTGCTGGTCTCATTTCGCGACGGTGGGGCTGCTCTTCGTCTGGCGGATTGCGATCCGTGAAGCCGCCATCGCAGACGGACCCAGTGGCTGATTAAAATGGCGCTGCGGTACAGCTGAATTTCGGGCCAAGTCCCGCTGTCCCCATTCAGCTTCTCTGACGTGCCTGCATCCGGCTCGCCGCTTCTCTGCATGCGGTCAGCTGATTTGTCACGTGCCCCGATCCCTGCAATTGATCTGCTGTTGTACTTCAGGGGACCTTCAAGTTCTTAAATAACAGCCACAGGAGTTGTCAGTATGTGGGTGTTCAACATTGTAAGCTGTGTGCGATAGTTTTCTTTGGACAAACGTGTGAGTCAAGGAAATACATAAAATATATCTCAGTAGCTCTTTGTCATGCACGTCGTGCTTGACTTTCAACACAAAAAGACAGCACTAATCCAAATCCATTTCTCAGATAAGATATACGGATGTGTATTTTTTTGTCTGTAATTCTGTCCTCTCTAGCGTGCAAACTAGACTAGCTGCATGGTGTGATATTGTTTTACTGTGAACAGACTTGCCATGTTTATGCAGTGAATGCTTTTCTGGAAGAGAAAAGTTTGCCCTTGCGTTCTGTCGGGAACGTTATGACAGTCATTGGTCTTTTCCACTGACCCTTAGAACACTTAAAACAGTGATGACAGAAGCCTACTTTTCTTGGGGAAATTCCAGGGCCCAAATGACATTCACTCCTGAATCGTCAGCACGAATTTGGCTGAACGTTACCCAGTACTGTGCAGAATTTGTCTATTTTCGCTGAGCATCGACCTTAATATATTCCAGGTATTGGCACGCAGTGGCCGAATCTCTCCCCGTATCACTGTTTCTTGAAGGCAAACTGACGTCTGAGCTGTAATTTATGCTGTTTGATTATGTTTCCGAAAGGAATGCATTAAGTAAGTCTCCCTCCATTCAGCATCGGTCAGTGGTTTGTCTAGCAGGTTGGTGCCGTTTTGAAATGGAACGTGGATTACAGTTTGTTGCCAGTGTTTGGTTATTTTGATTGTCTGTAGTGTGCTTTGTTTGCCTTTAAGAGCAGCATCGTATGTTATGCTGCGTCTTCTTGCTGCCCTACAATTGCTTTTGATACCTTTGCTTCAAAGTGTCCAGTCTTCTGTCCCCTCTTCCGTCCAATCTTCTATCCCCTCTTTTGTCCAGTCCTCCGTCCAATCTTCTATCCCCTCTTCCGTCCCCTCTTCCATCCCCTCTTCCGTCCAGTCTTCTGTCCCCTCTTCCATCCCCTCTTCTGTCCAGTCTTCTGTCCCCTCTTCCATCCCCTCTTCTGTCCAGTCTTCTGTCCTCTCTTCTGTCCCCTCTTCCGTCCCCTTTTCCATCCCCTCTTCCGTCCAGTCTTCCGTCCCCTCTTCCGTCCAGTCTTCTATCCCCTCTTCTGTCCCCTCTTCCATCCAGTCTTCTGTCCCCTCTTCCATCCCCTCTTCTGTCCCCTCTTCCATCCCCTCTTCTGTCCCCTCTTCCATCCCCTCTTCTGTCCCCTCTTCCGTCCCCTCTTCTGTCCCCTCTTCTATCCCCTCTTCCGTCCAATCTTCTATCCCCTCTTCTGTCCCCTCTTCCATCCCCTCTTCCGTCCAGGTTTCCCAAAGACACGATAATAGTTATGATGATTGATTCCATCTAGATTGTGGGAAAACTTCCTCAGAACTAATGTGAAGCCCTGTTCATTTTTCATTATTCTTCAGCCAGACATAAAATGACAGAAATGCTTTGTCCAGTATCCGTCCTAAAGAATTAATTGCAGTTCCTCTCAATCTCTTCACAATGCTTTGTTATTGTAGTGTCGTTTCCCAATTTATATAAAATGATTTAGGGTAGCTGCAGTAAGAATACTGTTTTGTTTGTTATTTATTTTTTATACATTCTCCCTGCGAAATAGTTTACTTTGCCGTTTTCATCCACTACAGCTGATGAAGATCGTCAATGAAATGTGCCCCAACATCACAAGGATCTACAACATTGGCAAGAGCTTCGATGGCCTTAAACTTTACGCCATCGAGATATCTGACAACCCAGGGGAGCACGAGCTGGGTGAGGAAGTGTCCATTTAGCCAACTAAGTTCACATTCGTTTGTGTCAATATTCGACAGGGGCGACCCGTTTGTAGTACTGCGTACGTCTCTACTGGGGTTCCGTGTGTCGTTCTGAACTGCTGCTTCTGGATGTTCCAACTTCTAGACTAAAGGCCAGAGGCGACAGCTTTCTCAGTCGCTGTCCCTAAACTATGGAACGCTGTACTTCTCTACTTAAGACACATTTATTTGAACTGGCTTTTAATTCCAGTTGTTTTACTCTTTGCTTCTTTTTTTAAATTTGCTGCATATGTTTTTGCGGCATATTTTTATTATATGTAAAGCATTTTGGGGCAGCAAGTGGTTGTCTGTAAATGTGCTATATAAATGAACTTGAACTTGAACTTGAACTGATCGGACTATCTTTCGGTCAGGTGAGCCGGAATTCCGCTACACCGCTGGTTCCCATGGCAACGAGGTGCTAGGTCGGGAGCTGCTGCTGCTACTGATGCAGTTCATGTGCCAGGAGTATCTGGCGGGAAACCCACGCATACGCCACCTAGTGGAGGAGACGCGCATCCACCTGCTCCCCTCCGTCAACCCCGACGGCTACGAGAAGGCCTTCGAAGTGGTGGGTTTGGGAAGGGGGTCTGGCTAATGTCGATGACATCGGGTGGCGTGGTGGTTTTTGGGTGCGGGTGCGGCCCAAAGTTTGGCAGATCCAGTGCGTATCCAGTGGAATAAAAGCAAAGCCCATGCGAGAGACGAGCAGGTGCAGACGCAGGACCCTGCTGCCGCTGCTCCGTTTGTTCTGGACCGCCCAGGGTTTGTGTCCAACACTCAGCTTAACCACCGGGCGCCGAAGGAGCTCCTTGTTTTTATTTTTATTCATTTTATTCATTTTCCCTTCATATTCAAACCAAAGTGTATTTCGACTATCAGTGCTTAACGGCATTTAATGTGTTTCACTGACCTTCTTCCACCTAATGACAGTTTGGGGTCAGATTTCAGCACCTATAAGGAATTTAAATATTTCTATTAATTAATATTATTAATATTACTTTTGGTTTAATTACCTTTGGTAATTACCGGCATCCCATGGCGGCTGTCCCTACCCTTCTGCCATGTGCTTCCTGGGGTAGGTTCCATACGGGAAGAGCATTACCGAAAAGAGCTAGAGGAGTGACACTTTGATGAAATGCTCACCGCACTGCCTGGATTTATGATGAACTATTTGGGAAACACGTTCATTTATCTGCAGGTATCATGACTGTGTGCAACACGAGTGCCTTTTTCAAGCCCTTTGGTATGTAGGCAGAGCAGGGAGGACGTGCGTGTAGCTTGGAAATGCGAGTTTGTGGATGAACGTCGCTGCCAAACGGCAGGGCTGATAAGATAGACTGAGGAAATGAAGTCAGGCGTGAATTATGACAGGGATTCGATGATAATACAGTGAAAATCCCAGCTGAGAGTTTGCTTTTTAGTTATAGAGTGCTGTCACCTTACGTTATATTGTTTCCATATTACAGTGACATTTATGCCGCTTTTCCACTGGCATACAGAACCCGACCCGTACCGCCAAGAGAGACTAGTTACAGTGCGGCTCCAGCTCGCTTCGGTTTTCCACTGCAAGAGGGTCGGCTCAGTAAAGGCATCGGGTTTGGAGAGCGACAGTAGTGTGAAACCGAAGCAACGCTTATTTACTGTTCACGAGGCGTACATCATGATTTTCTATGCGCTAATTTCCACTAGTACGTCTGTGAGAATTGCTGTGTTATATTAGCATCAAACACTAGTGGAATTAGCATTCGCTTGCGTCAATTTGTATTATGAATCTATTCCGTTTAGCTGTTCTGTAGTCCTTTTTTAAGTAGGAGGTTGAAAATTTTCAACTTGTGAGTTATCAGGAAGGCTTCAATATACAGACGCTCCTCTACTTACGAATGAGATACGTTCCGAATGGCCGTTCATAATTTGAAATGTTCGTAAGTCGTTATTCAACATCATTTTAAGGGTGTACGCAAGTACAAAGAACTAGGATGCTGGGAGTACGCACGCTACGCTGCTGCGCGGTGGGAGTAGCGGGCAGAAGTCGTACTAGACAGATTTGGCGCGCAGAAAAAAAAACTGATGTTGCGGACAGGAAACGGGAGCCCAATGAACATAATTTGGACTTACAGTCCTCTTCGTTCGTATGTCTGAAAGTTCGTAAGTTGAAAGTTCGTAAGTAGAGGAGCGTCTGTATTGCGATGTGTGATACTACCAACAAGAAAATAATATATAGAATATGCCTTCTTTTCCTTGAGAAAATCCATGCATATCGAAGCGGATCACTGGGTCTGTCTGATCGCCGTGCATTTCGACCAATCTGATGGTTCGGTCGCGCTCTTGGTGGCAGTAGAACATTGCCATTCGAGACACACTTATACAAAGTGGCAGAGAGCAGGTCAGGCACCGCAAGGAATCAGTTGATTAACTGTGATCAACCCTCCACTGTCATCCTTGGGAAAGTAGCCGTACAGCCTCATATATTAATTTGACTAACTATTGTTACTAACTCTTGTTGAAAATAAGCTCTTCTATCCATGGTCATCTATAACTGCCTACCCAGTACAGGGTTTTGGGGTTCTGATCAGTTGAGTTCTTCCTTAAAATGTACTTAAATCCCCTGTTTTGGTCAGCCTGTTGAACCTTTATCTATATTGTTGGCCGTTAACCCCTTCATGTCCATGGGCTGCCGTGCTTCCCTGCTGATCAGGGCTCAGAGCTGGGTGGCTGGTCTCTGGGCCGCTGGAGTGAGGACGGCCTGGACATCCACCACAACTTTCCGGACCTGAACTCCATCCTCTGGGAGGCCGAGGCGAGGAAGCTGACCTCGCGGAGAGTCCTCAACCATCACATCCCCATCCCAGACTGGTACCTGGCAAAGAACGCCACGGTAAGTGTGGGGAAGAGCAGGGATTGGGTGGGACATCACATGGTCACATGACCTGTGTCGTGTTTTTCGGATATATAACTAGTATTATTCATGCAACCAGTTTCACAAATCCAATATCGTTATATTCCTACATATTGCTTGAAAAATAAAATCATAAAATACAGATTAAAGTTCAAGAAAAAGAAAAACTGTCCAAAAACTTTGCTTATTTTTTTTATATAAAGTATCCCAAGTAATGGTTGTTCAGAAATGCCCTGTAAAGATTGTAGGGTGGCTTAGATACTTGAGAAAGCTTTTATTTGTAGGTTACATGCAGCATTGAGCTCAGGCCTGTTTGCATCATGAAATGAAGTCCCTTGAAAAGATTGTCCCAGATCTGCTCCAAGGGGCAGTGCGGGATGCTTGGGGTCGTAATGACAGCGGCCGATCAGACGGAAACGACCGAGCACCCACTTGGAAATGGGGACAGCAATAGAGCGTAAAGCAGACTAAAAGCCTCAAGGAAATACCAATCCACCCCCACATTTTGGGGGGGGGGGCTTGAATTCCACCTACACCAAGCCACGGAGATGCCCGTTATTCCGAGGACTAGACACATGTTGTAGCTGCGTAACGATCGCTTCGCCGCCCCCCCTGTCCCCCCGGTCCTCCCGTGCATTTTCGATTATCAGGTTGCCGTGGAGACGCGGGCCCTGATCGCCTGGATGGAGAAGATCCCCTTCGTGCTCGGGGGCAACCTGCAGGGCGGCGAGCTGGTGGTGTCCTACCCCTACGACCGGACACGCTTCCGCAGCAAGACGCGGGAGGCCACGCCCACCCCGGACGACCTCGTTTTCCGCTGGCTGGCCTTCTCCTACGCCTCCACTCACCGCCTGATGACGGACGCCAGCCGGCGAGTTTGCCACACGGTGGATTTCGCCAAGGAGGATGGGACTGTCAACGGGGCCTCCTGGCACACGGCTGCAGGGAGTCTGTATATATTACTCTATGATAAATTACTGTAATACTATAATACTCTGACTTATAATAATACTCTAATAATAATACTCTACTATAGTAATAATACTGTAATACAATAACTTGCTGTAATATCAGTGTTTCTCAACTCAGTCTTTGGGGATCCCCAGACAGCCTATGTTTTTGCTCCCTCCCAGCTCACAACCTGCCTGTACCAGGTATTTGGTGTTTTTGATTGGCTGGGAGCTGGGAAGGAGTGAAAATGTGGACTGGATTGAAACCTAGAAAATAAAAGCTATCATGTTTATTGTTCCTTAAGCTTTTCTTCAAACCAAACGTACTTTGCAAATGTAGTTACATGGTTACGTAGAAATACTTTTGCCAAAGAAAATCCGGGGTGGTACCTAAATAAGTAACAGTACGACAGCTCAGGTCTCTGCATTTTTCAGTTCAAACTTCCAAGCCTGTGGAAGTTTTTAACTCACTTTTGACAGCTCCATTTCTACCCCCTCCAGGGGCGTTTTTTGGCATTTTTTAAGGTGAAGGGCAAAAAAGGATCCATAATTTATACGGGGGGGGGGCAATCTTATCATTAGCCAATAATATCTTTTGAATCAGTGAGTGACAGGAGGGGGCACTCAGGAGGCCAATCAGCTTTCAGCTTGGGCCAGTGCCCCTGTGACCCCGCCCCTGTATCCATCCATTTTTCAAAGACTCGAGTTCTTACTCTGAATCTGGAACACATAATAAACTCTGTTTGAGATTTGTCCTCTTTCAAAAGTAGGGGGGATAGTGTGGAATTAGGTGGGATCCTGCCTTTTCTAGAACAAAAATTTCACAAAAATACCAGGGGGGAGCTGAAAGGTGGTATGGGGCCGGACGGTAAGATGAATTACCCCTTATTTCCTAGGCCTGCCTTTCTGTCAGAGCCGAATACAGAAGGGCAGGACGAGGGCCGTCAAACCTCTGCTCAAAGAGCTAATTAGGCCACCGGCTGGGAGGTAAATGGCTGTGTTTCTGACAGGTATGAACGATTTCAGCTACTTGCACACCAACTGCTTCGAGATGTCCATGTTCGTGGGCTGCGACAAATTCCCCCACAAGAGCGAGCTCCCGGACGAGTGGGAGAACAACCGCGAATCCTTGCTCGTCTTCATGGAGCAGGTAGGGGGCGCCCTCTCGACAGGGGAACAGGGCGCCGTGTGTGGCCACCTGTCCCGTCTCACATGCACGTACGGGTGGGTTAAACACGGTAACACAGACACACTGTTAGATGAAATCGATAGCTTTACATAACCTTCTAATGCGCCACTGATCGGAAGGTTGCCAGTTCCAATCCCATTGTCAGCAGAGTGATTTCACTATTGGACCCGTGAGTAAGACCTTTAATCCTCAGATGCTCCACGGGTTTTCTCGAAAATGTACATCGCTTTGCTTAAAAGCACGAAATGGCATCTAACAGTAAATAAATGTAATTCCTCCTGACGCCTATTTGACCTGAAAAACAAGTGTTACAAACATACGGTGAAATTAAAAATAACAAAAAATGGTACTTTCCGGAATTCAGTCGTAGACATATCTATGTGTGCACACCCACAGGAACGTACACACAGACAAACCCAAAGACAGCCCCTCCCCCGCGTGCCCCTGCCGATGCACACGCCCGCCCACATGCCCCCCGTATCCTCGCTCGATGAAAGCGTTAAGCGAATGTGACGGGTTGGTGTTCCTCCGCATGAATTACCTCGCTCTTTTATTCGAGTCGCACTCGTGAAATGCACGACATTCCCAGGAAGGAGATATCCAAGTGCTGTCTGACAGACATGAGAGGTAAACCAGTTTAGCACCAAGTAAACAAAACATTTAAATGAAAAAGTCGTTCACATATGCTTTTCAGTGACAGAAACACCCAGGGAAGTTTTTGTTTAATTTCAGACGTGGGAGAGATTATAGAAGGACTTGATTTAGGCTCATTTTGACACCACTATAACAAAGCAATTTTATGTGCTTTTTTTGGCAACATTTCACTTATTATTATTTACATCTCGCTCTTATAATGACAGCATGATTTACATGTTTTGAATGTTTATAAATAACGTAGAGACAGGCTGTTTAAAGTTCTCATAGCTCCAGGTTTGTGCGTTCAAATCCGGACTTAGAGTTTGCATGTTCTGCCCGTGACTTCACCACATTCTTGTGGGAAACCCCGGTCCCCTTCAAAGGGATCCTCTGATTGGGTGGTTTGGTAGCGTAATTTGTATATTGTATGGTTAGGAACCTGTGATTGGCTGGTGTCATGTTTAAGGTACAACCTGTCTATGCTGTGACAGACTCTGGCTTGTCGCAGCCCTAACATGATAAATATATAGTGTTAAGATACAGCTGTAAGGCCACCATGGATGTTGAGCACTGGGACGCCATGTTGGGATAGTTTGCATTCTACACTGCGGTTACAGACAGGGATACTCCTACACTAATATGTCTATGTAAAATCCTTGCTTCCATCTCTGTTCGAATGTAATTAATCTGTCTGCCAACAAGATGTGAAAATATAAATATAATTTGGCAGTTTAATCGGCTCTGGGGGTCAATAGGACCAAAGATTTCAAATTCGTGGAATATGTTTATTTAAATCCGTGCTTCTGGTGTTCCTGTGCACAAAGAAAATGTTGTCGCACAGTTATTTTCTTAGTCGGGTGTCCTAATTAGACTTGTCACGTCAACAATAATAGACTAAATGAAATGATTTATTTAAAATGACATCGGAGGCAGAGGGTACCGTAAATAGTTATTGGAGTTTCTCTGATTGAGCTTGCGGATTTGTCGAAGCTAATCAGCCTTCTTAGTATCAAAGCCCAAAACATTACAAATCACACTCACGCTCGGCTCGTGTCGCACGTAGATTTTTGTATGTCAGTCTTCTTCTGTGCTCTTTGTCTGACCTTCCGGCACGTTCCACTGTAAGCGATGATGCGGGGCACAGGTGAAACGGTGGGCTTCCAGAGCATGACTCACCGTGAGGGGGGGGGGGGGGGGGGGGGGGGGGGGGGATGGCGGGAGAGACAGAATGGCCGACAGTCCCTTATCCCCGGTGGCGTCCGTGACTCACAGTGGTGTCCTTTGACATTCAGATGCGAAATGGATTTTTTTCCCAGACATCTCCATCTAGCACCTTATACAGCTTTATCCTCCTGTGAATTTTAGGGGTCATTAGTGACACCCAGCCCAGGTAGCTAATAAAAACTGGGGGGGGGGGGTTGACAATCGTTAAGGATTATAACAATAAAAATTAATCAATCAGACCACATTGTTAAGGTACTTTGTAACTTAAAAAAAAACAGAAATTTGAGATTTAAATGCATCATGCATCTGTTATTCTGTAATGGTAGTTATTTCACTAGTTATTCATTCAGTTACAGGTTTAATGTCTTATTGTTAAGTATAGGAACCAAAAATTCACAGTTTAAGACATAAATTGCTCAGCTCTTTGGTGTTTCAGAGTCGTAAATCCCCCCCCCCCCCCCTCCACACCACATTCCCACCCCCGGTGGAGCGCTGTCAGTACTGCAGGCTTTCAGAGACTCAGTGGGGGTGAAATAATGTGTAGAATCTCTTCCTATGAATCTTTAATTTACATTTCAGATGTGCTCATGGGTGGCAAGACAAAATCAGACTCGCTGTCTGCCTTAATTCTGATGAGTCATAATGACATTGATTTTTAGTACATGCAGGTGTGCAGCTCAACAACAAGGATAAAATGCTTGTTTTAAATAAATGTAATGCATCTGCCTGTGGGCTGTCTGGATTGTCTGCCAGTTAGCGGAAGAATGTAACGTGCGTTGAGCGGAAACCAGCATACCGCAAGTGCGTTAACGTGCAGTGCAGAGATGAGAGCGGACAGAGTGCCTGGCTTTTGCGTTTCCTGTTGGAGAAGAAGACTTTGAGCCTCGAATGCTTGTATAATTATTTAAAAATAAACGGAATAAAAATACCCCAAAGGATTTAGATGCTGAGAACTGAAAATAAAGGAAGAATGTGCACTTGGAGCTGAAAATTAACGTGGAAAATGAACGAAAAATGGAGGGGAACAGGAGAGGTGTTGATGGTTTGATTTGGAGTGGCTGTTTATTCCATTGGCCTTTTAGGTCTTTTGGCTTTTTGAACTAGACCTCATTTACTTTAATCCTTTTGGGATGGAAGCCGTACTATCCCACAGTCAGGAAGCACGAGTTCAGCAGGGGGGATGAAACATTGAGCAGCCTGGTGTTACGCTGAGGGAGTTGAAATGTGGGTTAGCTGTGAAAACGTTTGCCCGCTCACCGCGCAACGCCGAACGGAGCGCCGCAATCAGAAAGGTCCCGGGGGGCGTGGGCAGCGACTCCGGCGACTGTACAGAGGCTCCTTGCGTTATTCTGTTTCGTCGCGTGTGGTTTCGAATTGCCTTTCCTGCACGTTCGGCGTGGAAAAACAACAACCTCACGCTGACCGAAATCAAGAGACCAGCTGACGGTGTCACAGCTGACTAAAAAGACATCGGGGAGGTTTAGACTCTGCTGATGGGGTTGGAGTTTGCCAGCTTTTAAATAACACCTCATTCAAAGTGTATTATTATTATTATTTATTAGTATTATTAATATTCCATCTTCTAGCCACTTACGCAGTCCAGGGTCACTTGGCGCCTGGAATCTGTCTCAGGCAGCATGGAGCACTATGGACTGGATGCCAGTCCACCCTGGGGCACGATGCCAATCCACCCTGGGGCACGATGCCAATCCACCCTGGGGCACGATGCCAATCCACCCTGGGGCACATACACACATCCCCATATGCTACAGGCAACTTGAAGACACCAGTTAGCCAGGCTGCGTAACTTTAGACTGCAGGAGGGAATCAGAATACTCAGAAGGAACCCACACAACACAGAGGAACCCGGCAGGTGTGAGCCAACTGAGATACCTGCTGAGTCCTGTTTGCACCATCAGTCATTTTAATTTATGGTCTTAAAAGTAGTGACGTGATTGGCAAATGGGGAACTATAGCGTGATCATTACTCTTAAAGAACAAACTGCTGTTGTGCGCTGCTAATCACACGAGAGTGATTTCAGGTTGCGTTCCTAGTGAGCCAAGACTGAGTCATGTGCTTAAGTGCAAAGCCGTCTCCATGTGAGTGAGTCAGCCGATGATTGATGAAGTGCAGGGAGGATCGGCTAAGGTAGCCGAGGCAGTGACGCAGCCCATTGGCGCTAAACGGTACCTCTCTTGTCCAGGTGCATCGTGGGATTAAAGGCGTGGTGAGGGACACACAAGGACGGGGGGTCGCCAACGCCATCGTCTCCGTGGAGGGAATCAACCACGACGTCCGCACAGGTCAGGCGCAGACACACTGCAGATGCACCGTAGGATTTCCGCTCCTTCAGAGGTAGAAAGTTCAGGTTCAGAAAGTACAAATCTAGACTAAGATTTTGTTTCAACCAACCAATCTAATATAAAGAGTCACATTCACAGAGTACTCAACTGGTTGGTTGGAACAAAATCTTGGTCTGGATTCGTACTTGAAGCTCCTGAACTTTCCACCTCTTTGCTCTTTCCTGTGGCCTTCATTTGTCATCAGAGTATTCACAGACAAATATTTACCTAATATAAAATTGATTATTAGCTTCACGCTACCAATAACCTACAATAACATAATGATAATATATCCTCCTGTAAATGACTAGATCATTCCTCATTACGAATACTTTGTAAAAAGCGATTTCCTCATATTATTATCCCAAAAATATAATACTAGTGTTCATACACCATGGAAATCCAGTCACACTAGGCTCTGCTCATTCAGGTAACGCCTCATTAAAGCTGATTTCGTCTTCCCAGTTGTAATCTGAAGTGAGGTTTTCTCACTAAACCGCATGTGGCTTTGATCACGGCGCTTTAACATCACTGTTTACAGGAGCGAGTAAATGTTTGGGTAGGAGGACGAGGAGGACACAGGAATCAGGGGTGTGACTCACAAACGGGCCGAGCTCTGAGCACCGCAATAAAGCGGCTCACAAAACCCAGCGTGGCGATGTGACGCAGTGTCCAGCACTGGAATGCCCTGCATGCACGCAACATGAGCGCGTGCCGCACCGACGCGCCCAGGAGATGCGTGGGCACCCGAAATGCGAATCTGCAAGCCGTGGTGCGGCTTCCAGCTCCAGATTTAACGAGGGGTCGCTGTCCTCTCACGGATTCGGGACGTGCGGCCAAATCGCACCCAATTTGGAATCACTATTATTAGCTCCTCGGCGACGAGTTTCTCGCAAGCGGAGGCCAAGAACAAAGCAAAACTAGGCAGCCATCGTGCCAGCCGAGCCCACGTCAACGCGGCGGTTTGCGAAATTTCTCGGTTTGACTTATTTTGTACCGAGAACACAAAGTACCGGTTTGAAGCTAATGAGCCGTGCTCAGCTTGTGAAACGTGCTCAGCTTGTGAAACGCAACTTTACAACCAGAATTTCCCCGTTTGGCCTTGAGCTTTGATCCCATTACAACACTGTGAAACAGGACATTGAGTTTCGCCCATTGTACATTCTGGAGGGGCACAGGAAGCCCTTTTGCAAGTGTTTTTAAGAACGCTGAGGGATTACTATGTATTCGCAGTAATAGCACTAGCAGAAGTATTACCAATGTCAGGAACGGGAAGGAAAAAGATAACTTGGGAATCAAGTTTGGATGTATGCAGAAATCCCACAGTTGAACCAGCTTTAATAGACAACGATTGAATCAACAAACCCCGGTTTGATGAAAGATACGTAATTTAGGACTTGTTTACATTATTACGCTTGAAGGATTTGAAATTCTCAGAGGCTTCATTATGTGGAATGATCAGTGTGCAAAACGATGAAGTGCAATCAAATTTGCGCGTCTCCGGTAAAAATAAAATGGTAAACATCTTACCGTGCACTCCCACGCGCATGCTGTTGGCTGCAGAGCCCCCGTCTCGCGTCGGTTTTGTACCTACCTCTCTAATGGAGTGTCTTGCGCTTCCATGACTGGACACCCTTGAAAGTCACATGAGCGTCTGGTCACATGACAGCACGTGTGTCAGAGAGCGGCGACACCGGTGAGGCGCCTGGCCCCAGCGTGTCCTCATGCCCCGGGGCTGCCTGCAGCGCGTGATATTTGTGCGGAAAATTGTTTTGTTTGACAGAAGAGAAAAGGAAGTAAATAAATGAACCCTGATTACACTGGGCAAGCAGAGTGGATTAAGCAGCCCAAACAGCTGTTTATCATCAGGCTTTTGGATATGCTATTGACAAAGTACCATTTTCAATATTAAATATTCTGTGATGTGCATTTGCGTATCGAGTGAGTCTTACCTGTTTCCTAAAATAATTTCTGTTGTGCAGCATATATTTGAGTTAAATGCCTTTTTATGGCATAAAATTGACATTAGCAGCCATTTTCCACAATGATTATAGATCTCAAAATAACTTTTAGAGAGCACATTAATTTAGCCCGGAACGCTGTTGTATGTCCTGTTTTTTACATCCCCGCCAGTGTGATTAAATGTCAGAGCTGGTTATGGCTTCCGTAAAGAGATGCTGGTAATGACGGTCCCTTGGTAGCCGGAACGTTCCGAGCGACGCTTCACCTATGGCATCCTTGCGTGTAGCAGGCTCTCCTGCTCCGGTAGAGGCAAGCGGCCCGACTCGGCCAGGCACACAGAGTTTTCCTTAAGAGTTCAAGAAAGCGAAAGAGGCAGGGAGAAGAAGAGAATGATTCATCGAGCGCCAGAGAAGTTGTGGTGACACGAATTAGACGATTGAAAAGTGTATTCCGAGGCAGGAGTTAGCGTGTTCTGCGTGTCACGGTCATGGGCCTGAGTACGGAACATCTGTCTGGCCCTGTGTGGCGTAACAAGGAAAGTGAAGTTAATAATAAATGATGATTCATAACGCCTGCCGTCAATAAAGGATGCTTGGTAAATAGGTAGAGTCTCTCTATCATGACTATTAAAACCCAACTTTGCCTCAAAATGTCCCCCGGGGAGCAACTACAGTGGAGTCAGAGTTCCTCTGTGCCGGTCTCTGTCTCGTGGGACCTCGCACGAAAGTGTCAAGGCGCACGTCAGATGTGAAATGCAGACGTGCGGGGTGAATCAGAGAGCCCGGTCTCCAGCCGCCTTAATGACAGTCTCCGTTTTTACATGGTCTGTCACTTAGACCAACGATATTAATAATTACAACCCAAGAGAAGAAAGGGAAACTGTGCTGAGGCCTGACTGTACTGTTTCTTAGATGAAAAATTAGATTACTGCAAGATAGAGATTTATCGCTTTGACTCGTGTCTTAGATTTGACTCTTTGAGGAACAGTCCTTAGGGCATTTTTAAAAGACCTTTTTGGAAGTCTCAATCGTTACTTTTACAAACCTCCAAGAATTACATTACCATTGTCTTAAATATAAGTTATAGCTCATATGGCTCGAGTTTATATATGTGTGTGTTCATGTGTGCTTATCTATCTATGCTTATCTATCTATCTATCTATCTGTCTGTCTGTCCGTCCGTCTTTCTGTCTTGGCTTGTTCATTTTCCAAATAGAAATTTTTACGTGGAAAAATATATTTCATTTAGAACGGTCTGTCCACTGAGGTATCAAAACGCAGAATTTTCCGTTAGGGAGGCAGGCAGTGTGAGCGCGGCTTGTTCCCCATCAGTCTGCTTCATTGTCAAGGTAACAGCTGCTCATCTGCTTCAGATGGAACCTCAAGCCCTGTTCGCACGACTGCCATGCTTCACTATGGTGATCGTTTAATATTTACTCCAACGTGGAGCATTGAACTCGCCGCGTCGGCGGTTAGGACTCGCGGCTGTCCGGGAAGCACCAAACCCTATCCAGAAAATGCTAATTTGCGGCTAGTCGGTGTGAGATTAAGCACCCCCTCCCCCGCTGGAACAGCACCAGTGCTCGCGGGATGTTCACGTTTGACGTCGCCCCCCCCCCACACGCGATGCCATTCCTCAGGGGGTGCGAGGTGGGTAAATGCAGTGTGACGGCACGCTGTACTATTTTTAGCATCCAGGGAACACAAGCAGTGCACCTCAGCCCCTGCAGTTTTATTAAAACTCTGCTATTTGTCACTTTGAGACACTGTTTTGTCATCATTAGGGACTCAAATGTGACCTTCTGGTCCTTGGACTTTATTTTTTTATTTCGTGGGGGAATCCTTCTCATGTTGGCTGCTTCTTTACCTGAGTACCTGACAGTTTCACAGCAGCTACCGCACTTGCACTAATTAGCCATCGGGGGGCGACAGTCGTGTCACCGGCCATGCTGAATGATCGGGGGAGGGGTGGGACTGCCTGGGGACTTCATCAAACTTGACTAGTTACCGTCCGTTTTCTTAACCTCAGCCAGATAGGGCCCCGAATAACTTCTGTGGGAGGTGCTCGTTTCATATGCTTTACGTTCCATCGGAACATGACCCGTAGGGCTTTTCTCGGCTGTGGGGGACCAGGATTCCCGCCTTGCTCCTGCAGAAAAACGCCGCGTCCGTCTCTCGCCCTGGTTGCCGTGCAGAAATGAAGAGTCCTGGTGTGTAGGATGTCTGTGAAGGGCAGTGCTCCTACTGTGCGGTGCTGTAATTATTCTCTTACAAACATTTATAAAATAAAAAAGAACAAACCAAACTGCCACTTCCACACCTGCCTTTTTCCTCTGAAGGTGAGAAGCCGCCGAAGCGATGCTTTTACGACCATAATAACAGCGTACGGTGACTTGACAGCCTCTCCAAATGGGCTTCAGATAGCGACAGGAAACCTTTAAAATCTCCACCTCTCCTCCCCTGGCTTTTTTACTCTCTTTGGGCAGCAGAATTTAAAACGATTAGGATGTATTTGTTCCCCGTTTTTGAAAATTTCTGAAAATGCCATAGCTGAACGAGACTCGCAGTGGTGCATGAGTGTGCAGGCCAGGCTGATCAACTAATTGCGCAGTTTGGACCAGGAAAACGTGACCAGGCTTGATTTCGATCTAGTTTTGAAACTCCGGGGGAATATGCAGCCGTAACATGAACAGCATTCCTGCTGCCGTTCATTCCCAGCTTCCTGATCTCACTTTACCGGCTCTGACGGGACTCACCAAGATATTTAAAATCTTTATTAGTAGAATCAAAAAATGTATCACATTACATTTATTTGGTAGACACATTTTCCAAAGCAACATACAATTGAGGATCAGAGAGCAGGGTCACTGGATATGTTGAGATTAAATGTTTTGCTCAATGGCCGATGATGATATCAGTCATACTACAGCCATGGGATTTTAACAGGCAAACTTCTGCTCATGGGCACACAGAGTATTAACCCACAGAGGAACACAGCATCCACAAAATGACATTAGAACTCATATTGAATAGTCACAGTAGGATTAGCATGTTGAATTACTTTTTGCACTAATATACTAACATGCTGATATTACTGTTTTTGTGCCAGTATGCTCACATGCTAATATTACTGTTTTTGTGCCAAAATGCTAACATGATATAATATTACTGTTTTTGTGCTAATATGCCAGCATGCTAATATTACTGTTTTGTCCTATTTTGCTAACATGCTAATTTTACTGTTTTGTGCTAATGTGCTAACATGCTAATTTTACTGTTTTGTGCTAATGTGCTAACATGCTAATTTTACTGTTTTGTGCTAATGTGCTAACATGCTAATACACCCATTGGAAACCGCTAGACTTTGTACACATTGTTTCTAAATGTAACACATGGACAGTAATTGATAATGGTCCCCTGTGTTCTCAGTGTTGACGTTTATAGCTCAGTCGTTCTGTCGGTTTGTCTATTGCCTAACCAGTGGCCGACGGAGACTACTGGCGTTTGCTGAACCCCGGGGAGTACAAGGTGATCGTCAGGGCCGACGGCTACACCTCCACCAGCAAAGTGTGCGAGGTCGGCTACGAAATCGGGGCCACGCGGTGCGACTTCGTCATCACCCGCACCAACCTGTCACGCATCAAGGAGATCATGGATAAGTTTAGCAAGCAGCATGGTGACAGCCCCCTTCCTGTCAGGCGGCCGCCGCAGCCCCGCCCACAACGACGACGCGGGGCATAGGCATGGGGACATGCCGCGTTTACTGGGACAGACTGGACCCATCATCGTAAAGGACAGGGAAGCTGACACCAAACTTCCCACCCGCCCCGACTGGGTTTCTCAATGATTTTATGCAAATTATGGTGAGACCTGTGGAAAAAAACGGAAGCGGTGAAAAAATACGGAAATCCGCATGTAAGAGCTGTGTCTTTCGAAAAGATGAAATGCATCTTTAAAAAGAGACAGTTTCTATCCTTTTCTTTAACTCTAAAATACACACTCGTATAACATTGCTTGTTACAGTAGCAGAATGACAGTTATGGTGAATGCTAGTCCATGTTTTGTGGTTCCTTGCCCATCCTTCCAGAAAAGTCATCACGCCTTTAATCTGACGGATACATTGTCTCACACAAAGCTTACTCCAAGCATTTACAGAACTTATTAATTATAATAAGGTGATGTACTGGATTGAATGCTTGAAGAAGAGTGAGACAGTGGCTGATGCTCCTTACTCACACACTGATTCTGACCCTAGTTTGGCATTTGCTTAAATGCATGCCCTGTTGTCATCGTGAAAATTAGTTCATATACAGCCATTGCACTGAGGTGACATCAGTTCAAAGGGTGAACAGAAAAACTGCAATCTGCAGTGTCCGGTTTCCTTGTGATTATCTCGTATGTTTCATGTAACATCTTGTGAGTTATAGCAAGGTGACAACCAGCATATATCATTTATTACAAAAAAATTAGCCCCTCCCAATCCCGTTCCCTGTGATTATTTATCAGAATTACGATACTTACAGAGACCAGAGACGTATCTTTAAGTCTAAATTAAGATTTCAGACATGTTGTACTTCTGTACGAAGGCGTTTCTTTGTACTGGAATGTTCTTCTCATTTGAGGGTTAATTGTTCTCATTTGTGTCAGTTTATTACGTATGTTGTTCAAACTTAATTTATATTCACAGTATAAATAGTATGACGTATTCATTATGTAAAATATGTATTGTCTATAACATTACTGTTTTCAAATCCGAGTATAAATTAGCAGCAGCTAGTCTTACTGTAGCTAGGCTGGTTGTATTGTAATAGCTGTCTGGAGTTAGTGTCCTTAGCTTCAGGACTCTAACGGGCGATTCGTCTTGAGTCCTAGAATATCCTCGACTGTATCTCCAAGATACAGAAAACCTTTAACAGGAAATTCAAGAAAAATGCCGAAAATTAATGTTTGTGTAGAAAAAATATATATAAAAAGGGGAAAAAATTGGGAAATGCATTCAGCTGTGGCATTGGTTCTCCGATATGTGTCATTTTTCAGAGGGGGAATCATTTATTCTGAAGTTGGTCTTAGATATAAGCGACAGAAAGGCTTGATGAATGATCGTCTTATTGTCATACTGAACAGTACTATTCAATTCTACGTGTTATATGCAATAAACATTTTATACACATCAACAATATCCAGAAGCTCATGACTGTTACTGATCCTTCCATCTTTCTCTCCGCTTTCTGTGTGATTTTTTTCTATCGTTCCCTCGGGTAGAGAGATGCAAGCTGACTCAGTGGATTCCCCACTCTCATTCCAGTTTGTGCCGGATACTCGGGGTCCTGGCTCTTATACGTTGCTCTATATTTGTCTATTTTCTGCCCGGTCGGCGGCTTCCACAGGGCCCCGTGTACCGCGCTGCCGGAGGCAGGAGAGCCTAATTGCTCAGGCTCCGGCGAGCTGTCATGGTTGCCTGCTCGCGAAAGGGAGAAGAAGGAGGAAAAAAAAGCAGAGAATCGCCCACATACTCCGAGTCACACAGCCCCACAATTGCTGGAAGGCCTCCGTTCCAGAGCGACTTCATTGTATCCCTCCCGGGAATTTAAAAAATAAGAAACACCCTGTACTCCTATCAAAAAAATAAATAAATGGTAATTGGTTACCAATTATCTTTTCTTGGCTTTGTTGAGTCATGGGTGGGTGGTTTTTAAAGGGGGGTCGGGGTTTAATTTTGGAAAGCGGGACATTTGTGAGAGGGAGTGCGAGTGGGGCGTGGCGGTGGTCCGGTCCTGCTTTTTGTGTAATCATGGTGATCCCACACGTGATATTTCTGCCTGTTGGAGCATCAGCCACGCAAGGGCTCTTCCTGGGGCTTCCCATCAGGGGGCGCCGTGTCTTCCTTTTGCTATGCTGATTTCCATTATCTCCTCCGGGGCGCTGCCATTTTCGCTCATAGCAGCAGTCCCTTTTTTTTTTTTTGTTCCTTTGTTCTTTGCTTTTTGTGGAAAAACAACCAGGAGATTCCGCACTCTGAAGACGGGCCAGGAGTCCTTGGGGGCCCCTGTCACAGCGCCTCCTACAGGTAGCTTCAGAAAAGGAGATACAGTAGTTTTCGATATACATGGCAGCTTTCACTAAATTTACCTAATTATTTACATTTTCAAAGTGGGGGAGGGGGGAAAGGTGGTAGAGTTCAGCGATAGAAATCATACTGACAAATTTGACTCAAATCCCCCCCACTAGAGGCTAGAATGGTGGGTCAGGGTAGGGTTATGCCGTCTTGCCCAGCCTTGCCACTCTAATGCCATGCAGATGTGCAGTAAGAGCAGAGAACCTGAGCGACCCCCCCCGAAAGCGGTTCAAAGGACGGCGGCTCCTCAGAAGCTCGTCCAGCCTTTGAAACGGACACCGGTCTGCCAGCATCACATACGCTTAAACAGGCGGCCGCCCTCGGACAGGACTGATCCGCTCGCGTCAGGGAAACAGATTAGACACGCAGATGAGTCAATGGACATCAAACAAGAAGAAAGATCTCGCCACGCACCCACAGATGAAACCAGATAAATCGTTTCCAGAAAGTAATTCGACAGGCACGGGTCAAGCATACAAAAAGCTGAATGAAATACCACTAATTCCAGTCTGATACCCAGGTGGAATCCTGTGAAATACATGTATGTATAATTTTTCACTAGAATTGATGTGACCTCAGGAACAACACCCTAATGTTTTCAGTTTGAGAGATTTTCAAAACCTGTCTACATGTCAAATATAGGTGTCAGAATAAGCGGTACCTTACGTTTCGCCCACCATCCCGTGTGCAAGTCATTTTATTTAATTATTGCTACATTACAATGAAAAGCACTGAATATGTTAATAAACAGGTGTGTGTCTGGGGGTGGGGGTGGGGGGGCTGCTCCAGGCAGGCCCACCAGTTATTAATCCCAGGCCTGAGACAAAATTTCTTCAAAAGGGCCCCCCTGATGTGCAACCGCCCCCCCCCCCTCGGCCTGGGGAAGTTGTGAGAACTTGTGGGCCTGAGACAAGAAGCCTGGATCTAGGTATATAAAATATTAGGTTAAGCTAGTGGGCTGTTTTAGAACTTTAGAACTGTAGATTGAAAATGACTAGGAGAGATGGACCCAGATGAGATAGGATCCCTCATTACCAGGATGGTGGGGGCAATTTCATATGCTCCCTATATTATATGCAATACTACACAAACATGTTGTCAATAAATATATACAGGGGATGGACTGAATATTTCTGATTTAAATTCTTTTGTTTGTGGATCGTCCCAAATAGATCACACCTTTTCCGTGACATTCCCCCTCGCGGTCCCTGATTCCTAATGAGAAATTAAAAATGAAAATTGACCGGATTGCGGGGGTGAGGGTCAGGAAGCGGGTGGGGCTTCGGAAATAGCTCATTTAATTTATCTGAACCTGCCAGGGCAGTTCGATAACTGGAGCACTGTTCGTGGGGGAAGGGGGGGTGGGGGCAGCATCCGTTAGCCTCGAAAATAACTACAGTGTAGCCAAAAATGATTGGTACGCTGCGAAAAAATGGTCAAAAATGGAAATGATATTGAGGATATTGAAGAACAAACTTTAAAAACTGTCTAAAATGTTACAATTATGTCTGTGTGTTATGTACAGAAACAAGATGAACTTTTATTCAAAACGTACTCCGCAGTGGTTTTCAAACGATTTCAAATTAATTTCATCATCATCCATTTTTTCACAATGTACAAATAATATTTGCTACACTGTATATGTTTCTGCATCCATGATCAGCCAAAGTTCAGAAGACTGTGTCGGGATACACCAGTGAACCCCTGATTACCTAAACAGGCATGATTAAATTCACATAAAGCTTTTTGATGTCAGGTTCAACAATACCGTTCACCCCTTTTAAGAAGAGGTCCGGATTATCATTCTGCACGTCGCATGGTGTGAAACTCGGGCTTTAAGGTACAGTACAGATTAAATGTAAACACCGGTGTGAAAACACATCAAGTTTCCTTTTACAGTATCTGTGTAATATCTCGCAGGCAATTGGGAGTAAACATCCTGACCCCAAAGTCAAAACAAACAGGATGACTGAATCCATCCCAGTGATTCGCAGGCCGCTTTGCCAGCCTCCGGTGAGGGTGACAGATTTGTCTCTCGGCCACGATTAGCCTCTCTGCTTGACCCCACCCAAAGGCGGGGTGCCATGGGCAGGGGTCAGGGATCGAGATCGCAGCCATTTACAGATGCAAATCCTGAGGCTTCTGCTGTCATTCCATTACAGAGAGCAGCATGGAGTGATTGGGAGAGCTATCCCTGAAGCAGAAATTATTTGTAGAAGGCAGACGATCCACAAGTGGCCGTTACCATTGTCCAGTCCCATAATAAATACTGTGACATGCAACTGTGTACAAGACTGTATATTTAATACCCAAGCAACATTTGGCGTTGCAGCCTTTTAAAAAGCACAACCTCTCTTAACTCTTGAGTCATTCCTGAGTATAGCGCCCATATTCTCACCAGCTAAATACCTTTTTAAATATTTGCTATGCAACCATGAACTGGCCAATTGGAAGAAAATGTCAACAAGGACGGCAAGAGTGATTTGATCGCTGGGGTCTTTGGTGGTCAGATTGATAAAGGATTTGCTGAATGTCAGCGTCTTTTATTGCAGCCAAGGACACGTCATCGTGACACTGTGATGGCCTCGCGCGCTGTTCCGCTCACCGTAAAACAGCGTTCGTGGCATTTCCCGTCAGTATTACCGTAAATATGTTAAAAATTCGCAGTAGTAAAGCCTCAGAACAGATAATGCAGTATTATTACTGTCAACTAATATGCATAATTAGACCTATCAGTCGAAAGTGTTTAAAATAGTCCAGGAAACAGATGGATGTTCTTTCAACATTACATTATTTATTCTGACAAATTTACAATAAATATACAATAAATATATGATAGGAAAATCGAATAATACCTGCTTTTAACAAAAATATAAACCAACATGTTTTACATCGACACCTAAACACAAGGGGAAAAAATAAACATTGTAATTTTGGCAGCATAAATTCAGTAATGCAATAAGAATAATTATTAAGAACAGAAATAATACCTTTTGTATAGCTGATGCAGCGAATTAACGTGTGGGTCTTTTAATAAATAGAAAAGTTATATTGGATATTAAGTATTTATTCAATATTAAATCTAACTCTATATCAAATATGCACTATGAACAACTGAGCATTATAGGTAAGCTTTTTTGTTCAGTATGACTTAAACCATATTTTAAATGCTTGCGGTCGGATAAATGCATTAATCTAAAAATATTTTGTCCATAAACAATGATTTTGGTGCCGTAGCTTACCTTCTTCACAGAGGGTAATAATATAAACCACATATTAACTTTCAGATTCCATAAACCAACACACTATAGAGCTAAAACCAGTCGTCACTGTACTATTGAAATTGTGAAAATGTATAAAAACCTGTAATTACAATGGTAAACCACATTCTAGAACATTCTGTACAAAGTATGTATCGTTGAATCACATTTTAATAAAATTACCGATAAACAAACACAGTCTATGTTGTCGTTACTTTATATAAATTTTATACATAACTGCCAATTAATTTTGTTCTACTTTTTGACTAATAAAGCAACAAGTCACAACTTAGTTTGTACAAAGCACGCGTGTCCACAAATACTCTTTTAGTGCAAATGATGTATGAAATCCTCAGCAGGCACCGACTGTGCGGAGTCTGACGGATGCGGACACCAGATCCTGCAGTTTACAGACAGATAAGCGCTGATAAGGCCATAAGTTACTCGTAAGTCACTCCTTCTGTGCTAACTTCATTTCCCTAGATGTTCTGGTTTGGTAGCTTGCGTTCCGAAATCCCGATCACGTTGTACAGGAGGTATGTCTGATAGCATCTGAGGTATTGTTCTTTCCCTTGGAAGTTGTGATCATGCAGAAATCATTAGGTGAGCTGAATGGCAGCTATGCACCGCCTTATTCTGAATATTGATGTTGCTGAGGTTTATATTGTTTCGTATTTAACAATATGCATACAGAGATCAGCACAAACATTTAAATTAATGAAAATAAAAAGGTGAGAAAATGTAAATGATGGACGATTGCACTGCTCAAAAGTCTCTCTTGTGCCTTTTTTTTTTGCTAACTCA